TAATTTGCACTGAAGGTGAAGGTTTTATTTGGAATTTTTAAATATTTATCTTCTGCAAAGCGCAAATATTGTGTTGTATTTTGATTCTGTCTCTTTAATTCAGAGATTTGAAATACATTTTAGGCATTTTTATTGAACTATTTGTAAATTGGTATGTAATAAAAAAGGTTAATTACAGGGCTTTGAAATATTTTAAATCTTATTTTATATTTCTCCTTTAATGGCCACACTGATATTTGGTTCCTTTTTTTCTTGTTGTTCTCTCCATCTGCCTCAGTCATTGAGAAGTTCACAGAAAACACTCGATTCTGCCTCATCTGCAACTACTTGTCCAAGATCATCCCAGCCCTGCAGTCTCGCTGCACCAGGTTCCGCTTCGGCCCTCTGTCTCCGGACCAGATGATCCCTCGACTGGAGCACGTTATCCAGCAAGAGAAGTAGGAAAACATCCAGCAGTTATTGGTCCTGAATTCTGTTACTGGTTTGGGTTTAATAATCATCTACCTAGTTGCTTTGTTAAACTAAAGAAAACTGTGGAGATGGAAAAAGTGTCACTTTAGGATTATGTTCGTCCAGCTTTTAACACAGTGATTAGATTATTTTTACATGAATTAATTTTAACAATTAATTTGTTATACGTTTGACTAAACAATTAAAAGCCAGATAGCAAAAGCTCATTAGGAACCAGATAAAACTATGTCTGTATAGAGCTTATTTACACTTATGCAATTTTTTAAATATCTTTTGTAGTTTTGGCCTAATTAAAGCTCTAAGTAGCTTGTTATTTCAGCAAACGAAACATTCAATATTTTTACTCCAGTTAACAATTATTTATTTACTAAATCAGTTGATTATTTCAATATTAGATTAACCACAGTTAATCCGCCTTGTCGTTTCAGCACTAGTTACTCTTTTTTTTAGCGAAGCAGTAGTTTAGTCTCTGTAAATATACGCATACGTTGACTAACAGAAATTAAAGGTATAGCGGAGGATGTTGTTTTTCCAGGTGGATCATCAGAATAAGTGGCCCTCCTAATTGTCAATCATTCTGGTGATATGTTTACATAAGGCTGTCCTATGTGCTCATCCCCATTTTCACTTAGTGGAGAAATTGCTAATCTTCTTTTGGAAAGTAAGCTTGTATGAGTGATGCAACCAGCAACTTTTAAACAAAGCGTGCACGAGGAGAAATGGGCTCGTGCACGCTCTAGTGCATTTAACAGGTGTTCCCTCTCGGAAGCAAGTACAGGTTTGTGCATTTGCATTTTTATTTTTAAGTGGAGAGGGCGGGTCTTTTAAAAAATTCACTAAAATCCTCCACTATACCTTTAAATACCCTGAAGGGATGGTCTCTTCCACAAGTCGGATGAAAACTCCCAACAGGAACGTATGTTTGCATCTGTTTATCCCTCATGTTTGGCAGTCCACCGTTTCTGCCCACTTAAATTGCATCTGTTACTGTGAAGCCATGTGCCGTCTGTACCGGATCCTAACCCGCTGTCAGACACTTCAATAACTGCCTGTAACACATGACTCAACTGGTGATGCCTCCATTGGGCCCATTTAATATTCCAGCTGAAGTTCTTTTCATTGTTTTGATTTGGGTTTCGCTTAAGATTTGATTGTCGAGTGTAGATAAGCCTTCATTGCATTTCTGTCGCCCACAGAAAGACGATATGCTTGAAAACTTACAGTTGATCTTTATTTGTTTTCCTTTTCCTATTTGGCAGCATTGATGTCAGTTCAGACGGAATGAAGGCCATTGTCACTTTATCGTCAGGTGATATGAGAAGATCACTCAACATCCTGCAGGTACGACTAAAAAGCTGATAACTGCTGCTCTCGGCGGGGCCCTATCTTTCCTTCTAATAGAAACTCTGCTGGGCCTGTCTGTGCTTTCAGAGCACCAGTATGGCGTATGAGAAGGTCACAGAACACACAGTGTATACCTGCACAGGCCACCCGCTCCGCTCAGACATAGCCAACATCCTGGACTGGTGCCTCAACAAGGACTTTACTTCAGCTTATAAACGTATCCTTGGAAGCTACAGTTAATATGGAGGCCGATTATCATGACAGCTTAAGTTTAAATGAAGGTTCACTTTGCTGAAAATGTATTATGCATTTGTTTTAGATGACTTTGATCAGTAGCTTGTGTTCTCTTAACAATGTTTTTGAAGAAATTCTGGAGCTGAAGACTTTGAAGGGTTTGGCTCTGCATGATATTCTCTCTGAGGTGCATCTGCTCATCCACAGAGGTAAGATAGAAAACAGCTCCTGTTTCTACCTGCTAGTGCAACATTTTCTGGACATTTTGAATTTCCAGTTTTATATAAATGCTTCACTAAAATGTTAAAATCAATCATTTAAATTTTTCCAATCTTATGGCTCCTCGTGTGTCAGGTTTGGCCTGCATGGAATCTTCATTCCAACCCTAAAGAATACCTTTTGGATGAATTGGAATAGATGCTGGAATCTGTATACTTTATCCAACTTTGAACGTACCGCTAAACCCTATGAAAGATGTTAGACCTTACAGATAAACAGTGGGAACTTATTCAAGTTTATAAACATTTTGATGTAAAAGTAGACTACAGTACTACTTTTGGTCTTATGGTTTATTTTTATCTACCTCACAATTCCACACAAAAGCTCAGTTTGATCTAATTTAAGTTCCTTTGACCTAATCACTTTTTTGATCACTTCATATGGTTCTAGATGGATTTGAATCTCTTTAAAAAACCTTTTTAAAATGCCACTAGTAAGGACAACAGACCATTATCTTTTAGGCTGAAGTACTGCTCAGATCTAGATGTCACGTTTTATTTAAATCGTCGCCCCAAAAATAAAATAAAAATTTATATTTAATGGCTTGGAATGGATAAAATTGGTAAGAATAGGTTTCTAGGATGTTCCCCCTAATGTGAAAGCGGAAGTCAGATTTCACAAGCAGCAGCTGATTTATTGCCTGAAATAAATCACCTGATGGGTTCTTCTTACTGTCAGTCACTGGTCTTGATGTTGATGGATATTTCCTAAACTCTGAGACGGTGAAATTAGCTCCATGAAATCCCCCAAATCTCCCTTTTTAATTTGTAATGCCCAGTTGAGCCCTCTCGGTACCACAGAGCTGCCTGGAGTTGATGGGATCACACGGTTTTTGCAGATATGTCGGCTGTACGTACACGATACATGTTCTGTTCAAGAAACCAGTAAAAGATCATCTGAGCTTTATGATGGGATGCGGTATCCTGCAGAAAGTAGCCATCAGGAAAAGGCTGCCCTGCAGCAATAAAGGGATGTTTGCGCACTGATACTGTGTTCTGGTCGGCTGCTGTTGCTGCTGGGTCTGAAGTGTGCCAGGAAAATATCCCTAACCAGTACAGCAGCACCAGCCTGTAGTGGGATGAATGCTGCAGTAAATTCTGCAGTATTTTGCTGTATGAAATAAGCCATTGTTCTCTTATAAAGACGGCTTTTTCCTCTCTTCTTTTAAACCATTCTCTGTAAGAAAGAAAGACTGTTTGTATCAAGAATTCCAGTCAATCCTTGGTTTCTGAAAAAAAGCTAAAGTCAATTAACTGGCTTTAGTAATTAAGCTACGTTCAAAGTGCCTTAAAAACAGTTTGAGGCTCTGGATACATTTCAGAATCATTTTATTAATCCTTTGTCGGAAATTATTTTCTTGTTTTATCCTCCACATCTAGATGCCATTTAAAAAAACGTGCATTACCCTGCCGGTTTAGGTTTAAGCAAGCTTTAGCACTTTTCAGATCCCATTTGTATAAACAGTAAAATAAAAAATCAAAACTGCAACGACCAGCCTAATTAGACTGCAGGCATATGGCCAGCAGAGGTCAGTGTAGCTAAAGCTTTGAGAAATGAACCCATTTTTTAAAACTGTTGTCCCTATTCATTAGTTTCCCTATTAATGAGCTTGTCTGCCAGAAAATGCTGTCAAATCTTAGACCAGAATGATGTTGATGCTTGTAATCGGCAAAAAAAAAAAAGATTTTGATACAGTGGATTTCACCAAGTATCAGTGTGGATTAGATGTATTTGAGTCTGGGGTTTTTTTTTTTTTTTGTCCCGTTTGGATGAGGTTCTTAATTCTTAAGACATTACATTAAAATCTTTTATAGTCCATCCGCTTTGAAAGCAGAAAATTTCCATCACTTCATTAAAAGCCATTCATGGCCACAATAAGGGTATGTTATCTGCTGCCTGAAGCTGTATGTTATGGTATTTTTCCATTTCACTGTCACGGATTTAAACCACCTAATCTGTTTGCTCACAAAAATGTAATATCTGAATTGTTTTTCCTTCTTTAAGTGGACTTTCCTCCAGCTATTCGGATTGGCCTGCTGATCAAGTTAGCTGATATAGAGTGAGTATAAATCGTTACTACTAATTGCATAAATACTTGTTGCTAAAACCACTCTTCTCATAATGTAACATCTCTTTAGATATCGGCTGGCCTCAGGAACGGATGAAAAGATCCAGCTGAGCTCTATGGTTGCAGCTTTCCAGGCAGTCAGAGACATGGTGGTCAGTGAAGCCTCTTAAGAGTTGACGTCTGGGGAAATTAGGGCTCATCATAGCTCTAAAGCAAAATTGGCAAGTAGATCACGTGGCTGCATCCCAAATTAGACCAAAAAAGACTGACGGCCTTGATTGTGAGAAATGATGCTACAAAAGTGCTTTTCAGTCATGACCTCTGCGTCAAACTCAGAATCACTCACAGGAATAAAATGCTAATCTTCTAGCATGATTGTCCACCTCTCTATCAGTGCAGCAATGTTCACCAATCAAATGCCAGTCTGAGTCACTTACATCTATGTACAAACTGAGGCCAACATTTGTAACTAGAGCAGCATAATTAAAACTGGTTCATGTTACCATAAAATCCATCATTGTGAGAAAAGAAAATCAGACATGTAAATGTTTCCTTTTCCATCTGTTTAATAAAACCTTGTTCTTTAAATCCAGTTTGGGGTTATTTATTATTAACAAGAAACATGTGCAAATTAAGCAGAGCTAAACCTGCTGTTTAATACCACAGGAATTAGAAACATATGTATGTACAGTTCCTATTTACACAATAAATTAGTTGTATAAAACTGTAATATTCAAGACGTGAACTTTTATGCATCATATTAAAGTGGTAGTGCAATAAATGAAATCCCTTAGTGAATCTAAAGTAGATTACGTTCCTAAATTGTTTTCATTAATCCCTCAAACCTATCAGTAAACAAAAAGGCATTTTTATTAGTCTATAAGGTTACTAAGGTATAATCTGAGCTATTATTCCTATTTAACTCTCCCAGTCCTCTTCGTCAGACGAGGAACACGTCTTGAGGCGTTCAGGGATGTTTCTGTAGGTGAGGTACTCGAGAATCCTTTTGGGTAGTGGCAGCGCCTCTATCTGGTGCGTTGAGACAGAGTGCCGCATTATGGAGCGGCACAGGTGGCACAAGCTGGGTACGGTTCTGGGGGACCTCCAGAACCTCACCTGGCCATCTCTGGTCCTGCAGGAAGAGAACGAACGAGGAGTGACTTTTAAGGTTCTGTGAAAAACCATTTAACTTCACAGGTTTATTTGTCAACACTTAAATATTTCAGATGTAACAAATATTTTTAGATACAGAACCTGAAAAAGTAAAAAAAATGTAACACTCCAAGTCTATAGAACAAAACAAAAAAAATAATACACCAAAAAGAACCTGTTTAACAACATGAAGCAGACGAATATCTAAAAGTAAAATCAATTCACACCCATCAGTCTGGAAAGGTTTTATGGACTTTGTCAAACCACAGTTAAAGCTGTTATCCCCCATTTGGTAAAAACTCAGAACAATAAACCTTCTAATGAAGTCATCTTACCAAACTTAGTCTATCACAACAATAATAATAATTTCTTCGTAAGGTCAAAACAAAAAGCAACATCCAAAGGGTCAGCGTTCACATTAAATGAAAAAACAATTCACATTTGCTCATAACCTCAGGATTTTTTAAGCCACAAAATAATCTAAAAATGTCCAGTTATCAGTTCATGATCTCTGGGGCTTCTGAAGCCCAACAACAAAAAGGCAGAAAAAAAAATTAATAAAACAATGAGGCTTCCCGAACTTCCGGAGCTGCTGATTCAACATCTGAAAAAGATGCTGCACCTTTTAGGTCATGTTTGTTTGTTTTTCAATTATGGCATTAAACACTTGAATAAGTTATTAAGGTTAAAACATAATTTTTAATGTTCTTAAGGAAGGCCATTAACTGGTTTAAATTATGGAGCATTTTTAATATTCAATGTTAAAAAAAAATCCAGAATCTAATTTCCAGAGTTTGCCTTGTTGATAGAAATCTGGGTGTTTTGCATTATGGAGAGGCTGCAAGATCATCGATTCCCTGAGCAAATCCCTTCACCTCCGATCGGGAAATATTTCCTCCCTTCGGGTCCATAAAGATATTTTCTTTTCTCACGTAAACCCTGCAAATGATTCAACCAAAACTTAGACCACGTAGAAACGTTGACTTTGTGCATTTATGAGCTGTTTAGTTGGGATCCCACACAGGAGCCATGTTGGGCCATGATTTAAAGTGAACCTAAAGGATCTTTGTCAACATAAATTTTGACTAAAAGTCAACAAACACTTAACTAATGAGAGTGCATTTTATTTGGAGTTCTACAGTGAATGCATTAGTTAATGAAAAAAACCTAAGCGTCTGGTGCAATGCCAGTGTTCATGAGATTAAAGGAAATAAAAATTAAACGTGCATCTAAGGCTCTCAGGACACTAAATGTGAACCACTAACAGTTCATAATCACTTTTTGTGTAAAGTAAATAAATCAGGAAGTTTTGTTCGTTATTTCAGGTCTCCTTCGAAAAAGAGATTTCATCTCAAGGGACTTCCTGGTAAAATAAAGGATAAATAAATAAAATTCATTGTCGTCCTGCTGAATATTCTGGCTTCAATAAAAGGCCCTGACGGTGACAGATTATCCAACCCAGGGTGGGAAATGTTAACATTTACAGAAAGGAGCTTTTCAACACTAGTGGGAGCCCCCTCCCCCTTAAATGGGTTAAATAGGGATTGTGCTGTTTAACCCATTTTTAGGACGGACTTATTGTGACCGCTGGATCAGAGCAGGAAAAACTAGTCAGATTTCCAGACTTCATTCTGCATCTTATTGTCCAAAGGTCACATTCATCCCTGCCCACTGATCTCATTATCATCCATCCTTTTGTTAATCATCTATGAAAGAACAGGATCTTTTAGTAAGCTTTCATCTTTAAACTGGCACAAAGAAAAACACCAGGCATTGAACTCTAGAAATGTTTTGGAATTACATGAAAAAGAATGCTGGAATACTGGGGAAAAAAAGCTAATATCAAGCTTTTTAACTTGCAGACAAGGAATATATGGTTTGTTGTCTGCTTTATACATTTAAGCTTTTAGGACTTATTGGCTTTTGCAGTATAAAGCCTTCAAATAACGCAAAAAAAAAAAAAAAGGATGTCATAATTTTCCACGTAGTAATTTCTACATCTACATTATTATTGACTCTTCATTTTACCCGGTTGCGATGACCCCTCCTTGTGGATGGTAGTTGCAACAGAGTCCACTGGAGTCGCTGTCTCTTTTCGTCTGCATTGTCATATGTCGATCTCCAGGCTCCCAGACCCTCAGAGCTCTGCAGAAACACGACAAATTAGTCTGAAATCATTTGTCCGATCTGTTATATATAAACATTTTAATGGAAGTGACAAACCACTTGCCTGTCATCCGTCACGATTGCCAGATGCATACCATCTGGGGAGAACTGTATTGCAGAGATTTGGTTCTGTCCATAATCTTCAAAGTAATCCCTGTCAAAAAGCAGCAGAAGTCACTGATTGTACGTTATAGCCAAAGATGGAAAACAGAAAAACTCCAGGAAAAACTTACGCCAGAGTGGCCAGTTTCTCAGCCGTGTAAGGATCCCAGAGGTCGATCCACCAGCTGGAGCCGCTAAAGGCCGCGGTGGCGAGAACGGCTCCGTCTGGAGAAAAGTCGCAAGATGACAGGAGGCACAGCTTCTTATTGTTCCCCCCGGTCAGGTTCCTGATGAACGTATACGAGCGTAGACTCCACAGGCACACCATCTGGTCAAAGTAAGATCAGGAAGGGTTCAGAGCGCTTTCTGTTTGAACTGTTTTCTAAACCCTGGGAATCTCTGTATGAACTACAACAAAACACGTAACTTGACTCTCAGACACATTTGGGCTTCGTCAGCAGGACTCACTGAATCTGGTATTACTTAAGCAACAGCTGGGAAAGTGTCAAGTTTGCTCTACCCTGCTGCTCCTTGTGAAAAGAACAAAGATGGCGGCAAAGTTTTTAACTCCCCGTCAGTCCTCCGACAACACAGGAGCAGATAAGCATAACACTGCAGCCTCAGAGCAACAGAAACAAGCCTTAAGTGAGTTTAATAAAATAAAAATCATCCCCTACATGTTTTTTATTTCACCTGATACAGTTTCCAGATGTCTATTTCTGATCCCTGGGGAAAAAATAGGTCCAAAAACTTTAGAAATTAAATACAAAACACAGTTTGAAGATCTTCGCTGAGATTGGTAAGAGAGAGAAATTCCAGTTCCCCAATGCACACTTTCAGTTTTTATTCGAGACCTGTGGTCTGATGAGAGTAAATAGAGCATTTCAGAAAATGAAAATTGTTTCTTTAGAAGGAAAACCATCCAGGCTGTAAAGCACCGGGCAGCAGCATCATGTTATGGAACAATTTTGCTGCCAGAGGGAGTGGTGCGCTTCACCTAAAGCGTTGGATCAGCAGGAAACAAAAATATTTAACAGAAATTCTAAGAAATATCCTAAATAACAGCCAGGAGGTTAAACTTTGGGAACAAATGAGACGTCTAAATGTACAACAACCCCAAGTGGAGCACCTTAAGTTGCAAAGTAACTTAACCCTTTAAAGGGGACTCAGTGAAATCCAAATTTCAAGCCAATAGTGTTATTGGCATCCAGGAAAGGACCTTATTACCTTTGTAACATTCAGAAAATATGGATATTTTGATGGCAAAAATTAATGTCAAGATAATAACAAGAAAAGCCAACTTTCCCGAATATATTAAGAAAAATAACAAAAATGCTTCCATAAGAAATTCATGAAGATCACTCAGAGGGAAAGAAATACATTTTTTGGTACAGCATAACCTTAGAGGCAATAATGCTGATACTGGCACTTACATTTTTCATTTTATAAACCTAAATATAATTGTTAACTAGGATTATTAACTTTTAAACTTTTCAATTAGCTTTTTACCTTTTTTTAAACTTAATTTACAGTAGGTAATATTTCATTCAAGGGTTCATCTAATTGGTCAAATGCCAAAATAAGATGTACAATGGCTGGATATAGATCTTGTGCTTCTAGACCTATGCAAGTTATCAAAATTAGTAACTTGCCCTATAAAAGGTTAAGAAGAAGTAATTGTTTGTTTTCAAGAATCCATCACAGTGCAGATCTCAATCCTGTAGAAAATGTATGTGCAAGCAAGGCGACCTACAAAGCTGACGCCATCGCATAATGATGAAGGAAAATACCAAATTAGAGAAAAAAAGACTGCTGTGAGAAGCTTAAATAGCAAAACACTGATTTAAGAAGATTCTGACAATTGAAAATTATCCATTTTTTCTGATCTAGTTTTTAGTTTAACAAAACTAAATTATTCTCTTATCCAGTCTGATTTAATTTCAGAGTGCAATAAATAAATAATGTCTTTCTATACAGTGTATGTAAACAACTGGTTTCAGTTGCATGTGTTTTCCTTACAAGTGATGCATCTTAAGATGCAGGTAAGGAGCTAAAATCATCATGAAGAGTGGGAGGGATGCAAAAGACTCACTCTGTCAAACCTGCCAACAGAAGCGATCATGCTGCAGTCGGATGAGACGCAGCAGCAGCTGATCCAGTCCTTGTGGCCAGAAAGCACCTGCACCTTTTTCCCTAGATGGAATGAGGAAGACAGTTAGTGAGCTCACTGGGACCCAACGAGCAGCCTCGGCGATGTGGAAATTTACACTATGCAATCTGTTCTGAGGAGAAAGGGAACACGAGTCCCTAAAGGGAACACGATAAGGCTCTAAATTAGAGCAGGCCCGGTATAGCTTGCTCGGATAAAACGAAGGAGAAATGATGGCATTCGGTTGCATTCAGTGTCTAAGTATTAGTGATAAGCTGCAGATTCCTTCTTTTAAAATGCAGAAAATAGCTGGCATTCTGTTTTGATGAATCAACATGTGGATTGAAGGGTTTACTGAAACGGATCTGGTGCTTTTCGTTGATCTGATGGTTGTGTACCTTTGTGAGACAAGTCCCAAATCCTCAGAGTTTTGTCCCGAGAAGAAGAGACAAGCGTGAGGGATCCGTTTTGTGGAAAAACCAGATTCCTAACAACACCTTCGTGACCATGGAGATCAAAAACAGCATTCCCTGGAAATGAAGAGAAAATATTTAGAAATTGACCAATAATTTATTTTTGCTTGATGCAACATAAGTTATCCTCCTCGACGGGAGGACTGAGCTCTACCTGTTAACACGTTCCACACTTTGATCACCCCGTTCTCCAAGCCAGTGGCCAGGAGCAGGGTGCTTTTCCCTTTAGATCCTTGGGACGGTTTAGTTGGAGGCGCAGCTGCCGGCGGTCTAGGTCCGAAGGCGAGCCCCCACACCGGGTGACCACAGCTGAAGCTCTTATCCGCTCTGTCTGTCTGTCCATCCTGACCCTCTCTGTGGGCGAGATTAGAATCAAGTACACAGATACCAAATGTGGGCGGCGTGCAGCCTGAGCTGATGATGACACCAGGCTTTTTTTAGGTGCTTCTGTTGTCAACAACCAGGAAAGTGTGATTTTTCTACTTGTTGTTTTTCAGCTAATGACGCCCACCTCGATACTTTCATAACCGTGCTGCTCAATTCATTTCAAACTGCGCCATTAGTTCGAAAGTTTACTTCAATAGACATAGAAGGTTGAACACTGATAATTAAATGCTGATGTTGAATACGTTAAAAGCATCACTACCATTAATGAGTAAAACTTAGGAAAAAAAGAACTGCTGTGATTATTTTAATTAAGTGAAAGTAACCAATGCTTTGTGATACAGAGAAAGGGTTGATTTGATTGTAATTATCTGAATATTGACCCATAGACAACATTTCTCCATACCCAGGACCAAACATGAGAACCGATGGCAGGGGGGGCAGGGGCGGAGCTAAATGGGGGGGCCATGGGTAGCCATGGCCACCCTTTGCCAATCACTGGCCACCCCTACCATTTTTTCCCCCTAATACAGAGAGTGGCTGCAGTAATACTCTGAAGGGGAATGTTCTAACTTATTTAACATTAAAATTTTTCATATGTTTCTTGAAAACAAAAACACTATGGTTAATTATGCACATCAGTATACTAACAGTAAAGATGACAAATACAGAAATCATGCTCTTTTTGAAACGAGATTTTGTCTTATGGGGTGAAGAGAAAATTATGTCTCTGCAGTGTCATCTATGAGTCTTTAGTGAAATCAGAGATAAATAACTATTTTAATAATAAGTAATCTATTTAATGTAGATATTAGTACATGTAAATATGAATTTTATTCAGAACGACTGTTGATAAAATTAGGAATGAAATGATCTGAAAATTAGTATTTAGTAGAAAATGATGAATGATCAAAATAAATAAATACAAGCAAAAAAATATATAGCACTAAAATTTCAATAATTTACAAGCATAAAAGCTGGCAGTTGGCAGTGTTTAGCGACTAATTTAGAATTTAGTATTCTACTAAATAATAAATTAGTATTTAGTAGGAATTGATGTATGAAAAAAAATAAATAAAAGCAAAACAAATTTCTGTAGAATTTCATTGATTTAAAAGCATAAAAGCAGGCAGTTGTCAGTGTTTAGCGGCTCGTGTGGCCCCCTTCAGGGTCACGCGCGTCCAGGTGAACCTACTCAGAGTCCAGCGGCCAGGCGACCACCCACACGATGCCGTGTCCCATCGACCAGGCGAACCAGGCTCCGTCCGGGGAGAAGTCCACGCTCCAGGTCTCGCATCCCGCCAGGTGCAGCAGCGACGGAGGCCGTCTGGTCTTCAGCTCCAGGAGCAGAGCTGGGTCTGACGCTGGGGGGACATGGAAAACCGGAATGTGACCAAGGTTCGGTAGATTCATTCCCCACCGTGAGGGACAGCAGCTCCTTCCCACACCTACACCCACCCTCCATTCCCCCCGGTAACCTTGGTCACCCGGGAGCGTTGCCTGGTGACGGAGCTCCGCTCAAAGATCAATCCTTACATGTCGGCTGCAGCTCCGTCTTGCTTTCCGTAGAGCACATCGTTTCCTTTACATTCTTCGGATCAGGACTGAACTCCCTTCCCTTTAACCTCACTGTTCCTTTCCATCGATGACAGAAGGAGCAAACCTGGCGCTTTCCCCTCTGATATCACACGTTCGCAATGTGAAAAATGTCCAGCTGATTTCCTGACTCACTTTATGCTGTTGGATGTGAACGTCGCCCAACGTAGTCACGTTTTTTTCTTCTGTTACGTAACAGAATGAGAGCCTTGGCCACACCTCCCAGGAGAGAATAAAAACATCCATCCAGCCCTGAGGTTACCATCCCTCCCTCTTTAATCTGCTCAAGAGGTGACTGTTATATTTATGACACGTTTGATCCCATGTGGACTTAATGCACTTTCACACAATAAGGGTTTGTAGCTTTAAATGCATGAGGGAAAATTTAAAATAAATTGCACATGGACTTGTGTTACACAGACTACAGATAACAAAAACCTTAGAAAAAAAAAATTACATCAAGCCAATAAAAAATGTCATGGTTAATACAAAAATGTGGGCTTAATGAAGAGAAAACTGTACTGACATGAACTCTGGGTACCTTTCCAAAAGGTTCTCAATAATTTACCACAGAACTGGTGTAAATGGTTTCGATTTATAGGTCAGCCTGCTTCTAGGCTACTTAAAGGTATAGTAGAGGATGTTCTTTTTCCGGGTGGATCGTCAAAATAAGTGGTCTTCCTAATTGTCAATCATTTTGGTGATATATATACGTAAGGCCGCAATGGCGTAATGAAACAACAATAGTCCCGTAGACAACATTATCTGGGTGGGCCCCATTTGAAGTACAGCACATGATAGCCATCTGGCTATCTTCAGCTTTACAGCCCCCCTCCTCACCCACGCTGTCTCCATTCATCTCCTGGTCGCAATGTTTTCTCACTGCTGCAGCAACGTCCACCATTCCCTTTTTGCTTCTTTGAAACAACGTGTTTATTTTGGGAAGTTTTTTTCCGTTCTTCCAGCAGCTCTCCTCTTTTTTGGTATCCATCGTTGCTAACACATTGTACGTAACCGTTATGGTTTTAATCTATGCTCTGGATTACCCATAATTCCAAGTCGTAGTATAAAAAATAAAATACTCAAATACGTCTCTCTTTTATGATCTTTATTGTTATTTGAAACATATTATATGAGTGTATTTTTTTACCAACCGTCTAATGAACTATACACAGTTATTAACGTTGTTATTAAAAGTACCACTGTCTGCTTTGCTATTGATGTCATGTTTAAACGGCTCACCATCCTGTTGAAATCTGGCATGTGTTGGGGTATAAATACGGTCCGGTGTGATAAACCACTTCAGTATCAGGTGGGTTTAAAAGGATTTTTTCGCACCATTGCATCTGCAAGGAGACGTCTTAGTCTACATTTGCCAACCAGGTGTCAGTGATGGGGCCCCTAAGAGGTCGTGGGCCCATAAGCGACTGCTGTCTCTGCTTACCGATAGTTACGCCGTTGTAAGGCCATCCTACATGCTTGTCCCCATTTTCACTTACGGTGTTGAGTCGGACGTAGTGGAAAAATTGCAGATCTTGTTTTTGGAAAGTAAACTTGTATGAGCGAAGCAAATTGCAACTTTTAAACGGAGCATGCACGAGGAGAAATGGGCTCGTGCATGCTCTCGCACACGTTTAATAAGTGTTTCATCCTGGGAGTGGGTACAGGGTTGTGCATGTGCATTTTTTTTAGTGGAGATGGTGGGTCTTTTCAAAAATTAGCAAAAATCTAACAGTACAGTTCTTCTTTACTGTACTGTCAGTGCTTAATGATTCCCGGTTTAAAACAGTGAGTTTCTTTATAGAACAATCTGCAGTATGCTAATGGTCATTGGCCATTTGAAGGACCCATGTTGGCCGAAAGTTTGATTTCCTGATGCCTTTTAGATCCTGCTTCAGTAGTACACCCCAAACTTTTGTTTTCTCGAATGGTGTGCACCAGATCTATTGATAATTGTTACATTTCAGATAATTGGCATTTATCAGATATCAACACGACCCAGATTAATGGGCGTCCTATTGATGTAGTGTTATTAGAGGCTGTTCCAGGCTGGTGACATTGACCTTGCATCATAATCAGACCCTCAAAAGGTCGCTCCTCAGCCGTCTGTGCCCTGTTAGATCTTCATTTAATCCGCTGTTTCCCCTACCTGCCTGGACTTAGGAGGATTATGCTCTATCTGATGCACCAAGCTGTCACCCAACGCGTGAGGAGCATGTTTGTTGATCTCTCCAGTGCCTTTTACCATCCAGCTGGGACATTTGATGGACAGCTGGGGCTGTTAGCGGTGGATCAGCACCTATTTATTGGGATACTGGATTCCCTGAATTGAATGCTCTTAAAAGGAAGTGTCAGGACAGCCTTTACCTGTGAAGGAGACAGACATCTTTTGGTGGGGAGCTCCCCTGAAGACTTTATTTGACTCTGCGGTGACATCAACTGTCTTCTATGGTGGATGTTTTTGGAGCAGCAGCTTATCTACAGCTCGGAGGAAACACATAAGCTCATCAGATCTCCAGCTCTGTTTGAGGATCCCCCCTCCATGTGGTGAAGGTGCTGAGAGACAGAAGGACTATAGCAAAACTAAAATCACTTTTTGACCATGTCTCCCACCCTATGAACTATGCTGCTGCAGAGCTTCCTCAATTAAAGAGAGCTGTCTTAACTGCACCAAGGAGCGTTATCAAAGATCCTTCCTCCAAACACAGACATTATAACCATCACAACTCTACATAAACTCTGAGTGGTTGTGGCTCTGATGGTTTTGCAATTTTTTTAAATCTTTGTAAACATTCTTAATAGTCTTTTCCACATTTCTAGTCTCTGATTATTTGCACACTTCTCTGTGGGCCACTAATAGCAGTGCAGTAGTTTTTTCTTGTATGTACAAATTTTGCCCTGACGTCAGTCTTCTGTTCTTATCTAGTTTATATGTTTTCCCTCTGTGTGTGCCTGTATGCCTCCATTTACGTTTCACTTGTTGCTGAGATTCTTACGACTGTGGGAAAATAAAGATTATTATATTCTAACTTACTGATGAGATCAATTTCTAAACTATTGTGGGACCTATAATTGCTAATTTTCATGCAGTTAATGAAATTTTTTGACAATTTTTTACTTTAACATCAGTTATCTAATTGTGTTCATGAAAGCATGGAGTGAAAAATAAAGAAAACATGGGATTCCAGCCTTTTAATGCTTACATAACATCAATTATTCACATCAAAGCTTGCATTGCTCATTTCCATCAGGTCTGGTTTTTATGCTGGATCTGCTTCTGATGGTGCAATACATTATTTAAAGGCTTTTAACTTGCTTTGACCTATTAAAAAGGAACACACATAAAAGTCTAATGTGCATAAAATGTACTGATGGGCTAAGTAAATGTGCTTAGTGTGAATTAGATAAATTCTTGAGCTTAGTCAATATATAAAGGAATTATTCACTGTATTGTACGATTAATTATGCTTTACAAAATAAAAACCTTAAAATCATCTTTAGAGCCATTAGAATATTTAACGATGTTTCTATGACTCCTTTTTCATATTCATAGATTTATTTAGTGAACTTTGGGCCAGTTTCTTTTAACTATACATGAGTTGAAAAACTAAATCTTAAATGATCTTTGGTTTTTAGTTAAAACTGATTCAAATTTCTTATCAAGCAAAATTAAAATTTCAGCATGTTTCTGGATAACATGTCCAAGCTGCTCAGCGTTCATCTTCAGAGCGTGCGTCCAGATGCCGCATGAAACCGGCCTGGATTCTGATCATGTTAAGGGACTGAGTCCGTTTGTTTCACAGCTCTAACCTGACAGTGACGTGTTTGTTTCTTTAGGTTTGGTATGGAGCTGCAGTGTGCAAACAAAGGCAAAGCAGACAGTTTCCACAGAAATATTTTCAGCTTTAATGTAACTCATTCAAAATCCTGTACAAATAAAATGGTCATAAAAACAAAATTACAAAAATGTACAACATTACAAAAACATTTTTGAGTCTAGTTCAGGTTACAGTAAATGTCTTTTCCAAAAAATGATGCATTTCTCTCCTGACGTGTTGAACCTAAAATAATACCAGATCCTCTGCCCCTTCTTTCTCCTCTTCTTTCTCTTCTTTCAGCTCCTCTGTGGGTTCTTCCTTCTGTGCAGGTAGCTGTGGCTTTGCTTCAACAGTCTCTATTTCCTCATGATCATCACCTGAACAGCAGAGGGAAAGGTTATACTCCCAAATACCTGAATTCTTCAAACATAGGGTTCCTATAGAGGCTTGACGGAAAAATGTTTCTAGATGTCATACTTGATTTATTATCCAAAAGACAAAAATCAGAATTTTGAAAAAATAACCTTCATTTATTTGATTTGCCTAATAAAATGTGTATAAATATTTTGTATGATTCATTAATTAGAAACAATATTTTGAGTTAGTGAAATGCAAATTCATTTTCTAAATTTTAGTCAGATTTCAAGCTATGACAGCCCTCTTAGTTATTATGAATTTTTAATTTAATGATAAAAGGTGTGACAATTATTTAAAAAATCTGTAAAGTTAGAAAAAAAAAAGAAATTTAAATTAACCCAAATTTTAACAAAAGTATAAAATAGACCTTTAAATAAAAATTGACACAAAACCAGCTTAAGCATCGCTCTGTTTCAATTGTGGAACATAAAGACAAAAAAAGTCTTAACTAGAGCTGCAACTAACAATTTTTTTGCGAATCGATTAATCTGTTGATTATCTTTTTCAAATAACTGATTAATAATTGGATAGCAAAAGGTTCCTTAATGATGACTTTTTACTAAATTAAACCAGGTCAAACAAAAACTTTTAAACTTGAGTTCTGGATAGAGCAAATTGAAAGCAAAATTTTTACATTTTTTTGTACAATATTTGTAAAATTACTAATTATTAAGTGGGTTGCTCTGTCAGCACGTTTTGGAGTCTCTACATTCCAGTTAATGATTAATCAATTACTAAATTAGTTGACGATTATTTCAATAATCAATTAATCACAATTAATCTGATCAATTGTTTAAACCCTAGCCTAAATAAGGAAATGTATTGAACTTAAATGTCCTAAATGTAATTTAAAAAAATGTATAGATAAAATCTTTAAAAAAAGGATTTTGGATTTCTTGAAAATATGTAAATTAGATAAGCAGAATGAGTAGAAGGTGAAAAGTAGGACTTACTGGAAGGGATCCGATGTATCTGGACAAGTGTTGTGTGGCGGCCGTTGGCTAAAGGAGGCAGCTGGGGGACAGTGTCATGTATGATCTGCTCATCATCAGAGTCCACCAGATCCAGCACGTCTCCCCTGTCCTCAGCTTGCCTGCAGAGAGGAGAACAGTAGGACTTCAGAGCAAACGTCTATATGTCCTGCGATTACCTCAAATCTGTTTTCAAACTCCAAATGGAGTACAAATATATTTAAAAAGCATAATGATTGTTATAAACCTGATGAAGAATTTACTGTTAGGATCAAATGAGACTTGTTTTTTGGATTAGGGTGCTGAAACAAGGGTGCCTTTGAGAGAAAAACAACTGTTGTCGGTGGCAACTAACCGAGGTATGCAGGAATTCCTGAGCAAAAGGGAGGACGCAGAAATAGACTCAGATGCAAACAAACCAGGTTTTACATTATTCTGCTTCTGGGATGAATTCAGATCTTAAAGAACTGAAGATAAATACAGGAGAATGATGGCAAACAACAGAGTTTGGCAATAGATTACTTTGGATGAGATCAAACTTTGTGGGTTTTTAAAAATACTTTTTCATTTGAGGTAATCCTTTCCTCAGAAAAATCCATTCCAGAAAAAAAATCCATACTTGTCACCAGAATCATTCACTTATATCTAGAATAAGACAGTATGTGTGGTTATTGAGTTTCTGAGAAGCAATTGTCTTTTGCAGAAGGGTTTGGCAATATCTCTATTGCATATCCTGGAAGTCAGTGTCTGAGAAAAGCAGATAAGAACCCCTCCCATCAGTGGGTCTCTGCAGACTAAGGGTTGAGAATGGCTGGATAACCTTTTCTTTTTTCATCCAAGTCTCTCATGTGTTGACCTCTGTTCTAAAAGGACCTCTTAACCTCCCAGCACTGAACCAATAAGAAACACAAAAGAATCACATAAATAGACATTGAAATAAAATAAATAAAGAAAAACATTAAAATGTTTTGAAATGAGCACAGATATTTTAGATTATTAAGGCCTAGAGGCCTTTATTTACATTTTTGAAAGCAGTAGAGAGAAGGGAAGACATTTTGCAAAGGTCATCAGACTGGAACTCAAACCTGTGACCAACCTGTCAAAGACCAAATCCTCTCTCCATGACTCACTTAACCCCTGCACCACTGCCACGCCCAAAGTCATAGGTTTAATACCGTACATTGCCTTACTACCCCTCCGTTAAAAAAGGGTACATATAGGCTCAGTTGGGTTTTCACTTTAATCCATATTAAGACCATTGTGCTTTTGGATCATTAAAGGTATAGTGGAGGATGTTCTTTTTCTGGGTGGATCATCAAAATAAGTGGTCCTCCTAATTGTCAATCATTCAGGTGATTTCTTTACTTAAGGCCATCCTACACTCTCATGGTGAGTCTGACATGGTGGAAAAAAAATGCTAAATCCTTTTCGGAAAGTAAGCTTATATGAGCGATGCAAACAATAGCTTTTAAATAGAGTGTGCACAAGGAGAAATGGGCTGTATAATCGTTGCTGTACTCTCACACCTATCCTCCTATCAAACCTTTCCCACCTCTGTGCTTCGCTGCCACTTAAAGCGATAATGTGATGTCATTTAGGACATCCACAAACATATCTAATCCATATTCAACAGATGCATGTGTTCAAAGTAAAGGCTTCAGACATTCATCAAGCTTCTCCTCCTGATCTTTATAGAAAAAACCAAACATTAAAGGAAAGCAGGCAGGTGGTACATTTACATGCATTTAAACATGTCTTTTTTGTTAGATATCTAAAAAACTATTTATGCACATTTAGCCAACTGATGTAAAATGTCCATCTTTCATCAAATATCTCATTGCATGAATTTATAGCGAATGCTATTAGCATTAGCTGTCAAAACTATGAATGCTAATGAATTGTACATCGTATAGTCCGAGCTCAATTCCTGAATGGGACAGTAACATATCATTTGCTGCTTAACGCCCAAAGAGTTTACTTAATTTTTTCCACTTTCAACTTGTGTGCTTGCTAATTAATATTCCAGTATTTTTTTTTATTTGTTTTATAAACCATTTTTTATGTTGATGTCAACAACAGGGCTGACAGTAATTCAGGAAGTGAGCCTATTTTTGGGTATTTGCAGTTTTGGGGATTTCTTTTGGCAATTTTTTTAATAATAATAATGGTTTTTAAATAACAAAAAACTGTTACCAAAAAAAAAAAAAAAGGAAATTGAATTTTCAATATTTATACGGAGCTAATATGAAGTACATCGGGACGCCCACTCCTGATTAGAACAACCAACCATGAGCAGAATTATCTGTTATAGCTGCATACACATTTTAAGATTAAAAAGGATTATTTATAAAAAGAGAAATACTCACATGAAGCCTCCTCCTGAAATGATAATTAAAAAAAGAAATTATTATAGACCAATGTGTTAAATAACAGCAAATGTGCTTTTCTAGAGTTCATATTGGTAAATGCTGTGAGGTATGGAAAGCAAACGTTACCCAGGCAGATGGTGTGTCTCCTGGAGTAAAGTGCCTTAGCCACAGCTACAGCAGAGCCCACAATCAGGGCAGCTATGAACACGCCGATCACTGCTCCAGTGTATGCTGAGGATGATGCTGGGGAAAAAAAAAGAGAAAAGCAGAAGACCGTGTTAAAAAAAAGGGAGTGCAACGGGTGGAGCAACAGGTCTATCAGCATTCCTGTCAAAAAGTGTTTCCACAAGCTTCTAGATTAAATCTCACCAGCTTTTCTGCTTCCTGTCTGCTACTGCTACGCCTTACACAGACTGATACATTAAAATACGTTTTCCAAAGATCTCACTTTTCACAGTGATGTAGACCTCCAGCTCCTTGACCCCGAGCGCGTTCTCGCTGCGGCAGAAATAGTAGCGCTCGTCATCCTCGCTCATGTTGACGATGGTCAGTTTGAGCTCAGGGCCTTCAGAGGACAGGATGTACTTGGATCCAGGAACAATCAGGTCTTGAGCTTGGCCTTTCCTCCAGGTGGTGTTGGCAGGCGGAACGGACACGTTCTCAGTGCAGGTCAGAGTCACGTTGGTTCCCTGAAGAACTGTAACCAATGGTTGGCCCTCAGGGTATGGAGTCTCTGAAGGCAGAGTTAGAAACATAACAAAACTCATTTTAGACTTTTCTCCTGAATCGAAACCTAAATGAATAACAAGGGTTCCTATTACACATCCCTAATAGCATTATACATAATATATGAGCTGTAACTGGGGTGAACATGTTGTGCCTCAACAAAACATTATTGTTACAGAACATGCATATAATCAATGGGGGGAAATCCTACTTGACTGAATAATTGTTTATGGAATCATTGATGGCACCAGCTTAAGTAATTTTTGCCAATTTTAAAACAAACAGGGAATCTTTGAACTTTTCTCTTTGTGGGGTTTCTTATAATCATCCAGTCTTAGTTTAGTTTCTTCTGCTCCTCGCTTACGTTTCTAAAGTATTTATGTTTTTTTTCATCTGTCTGTCTGTTTTTAAAAATTTAATATTTGCATGAGCTCTAATAAGGTTACCAGAGCTTTTTAGAAAACAATGAAGGGCCACAGCATTACAGATCTTCCACCATACTTTACAGTGAACCTGAGGTATTTTTCCAAATATTCCCACCTTAATAAAAGTGACATTTTTCTCACATTTCTGGTCAAGATTAACTGCAATACAAATAAATAAGTATTTTACACATCTTATTTAGTACCACCACAAAATAAATTATACATATGTACTATGAAAAACAAAAAAATATATACTATGACCTTCTATTTGAGATATTTTTAGGTACCAACAACCTATCAATAGAGTCCTGATGCTTTTATCAGAGATCATTAAAAAGTATTTCAGTTAAAAGGCAATTCCTTAAACATCCTGTAGTTAAACTATGACAGATAATCTAAGTAGTTTCACTAAAGCAGCTTTACCAATCCCACAATGATTAACTCATTCTTGTTTAAAAGAGAGAGACGAGCTGTCCTACAGATAGGTTGTGGATTAATCCAGATCAATCAATAAATACTGATGAGATAAAAGGAGCATGCAGTTTTTGACACACTTCTGCATCATGACCTCATTGTTCTGAGGACTCCAGATAAGAAGACAATGCATCTTTATGTCACTGCATGACTCAAGAATAATCCAGCAACCATTACAATAATTCCTAAGATGCATTCCTGGGTTTGTTGACATGAGGAGCAAAAGTTCAAATCCAACATGCAAAGGTAAAACATCACAAAAATTGAGGACAAATGGTTTCATGCAAGAAGTGTCCTACATTCAAGTGATTTAGGTGATTTATTTTAGGAGATTTATTTCTGATCTTCTGTAACAAGTGAGCTAGACTCAATGTAGGAGTCTTGCAAAATCAGTGAGCTGTTATCCACAGCTAGTTTTTAACTTAAATGAGTCAATAAGTGAATTTGTTTCACTTAGAAGCAATTGTTGGTTTTATTTAGCTATATGAACTCTGCAATTAGAAAGGACATTTTATTTGCTGAGGACAGAACTATCGGTCACTGTACCTACAGCTGGCATGTCGGTATCAATGGACACTGTTTACATTTTTGGTCATTTCATCAAAACAGAGAACCGCCAGAGATGAAGCTATATAACATGAAATAACATCTGGAACAGCAAAATTGATGGAAAGCAAAAGCTCAGGAAAGCTCATCTAATGGTGAGACTCTAATAGCTCTAATAATTGTAACAGTGCAACCAGGTAATTTACATCCCTTGTGATTTAATTCACTGCTTTGCTTTTACGAATCCTTTATTTCTGCTGCTCAGCTCTCATTCAGTAGAAACTTAATTTCCAAAGCAGCAGACTTGTTCTTCCTCATTTTTGATGCAATTTTCTAAATGGCAAGTGTTACAAGTCATAGCCTTTTCTAACATTATTGGGGAGGTAATATGCAGATTTGCCTTTCCCATGAGCGCAGGCGCGCAGACTCAGCACAGCTGGACTGACTCTGGTTTCCGAGGATCATTTACGATCATTTACTGAAGGTAAAACATTTGTTTAATCAGATAAGCCTACGGTAAGGAGAAAAAGTCAGAGAGTTTCAAGACAAGAATACGAAAATGTTGCTGCATGAGGCCCGATGACTGTTATTGAAAATCCCTCTGTTACTCTGCACTATGACATGTAGTAGGTGGTTAGAACTGCATTTGTGTCTATAATTTTGTACTAAGCAAAATCAGTTTCCTGCAGTTTCTCAGACAAGATAACACAGTTATTCCATGAATGATGACCTGTCACCTAGAAAGGGAGAGCCACGACAGATCACTGTGCAAACTGTGCAGTGTTATCCCACTCAGGCAAAAGTTATTACTCTGAATCAGAAATCCAAGCAGGGAGAGACCTTAGGAGAAAATCAGACTGTTTTTAAGTTGTTGTTTTTTTTATTTTTATAAAATTTGGTTTGAACTCTATCTGAGTACACCACAAAAATATATCTCCCTATACGTACAGGTAATTTCAGTCTGTAAGTACAATTGATTACAGCTAAAAGTGGGAAGTCCACCTTTTATTCTTATCAACTGTTCCTCTTAAACTAAACCTGGGGTCTCCACGCCTGATAAGCTTCTTTCATGTTTTCCAACACAGTGTTTAGTCAGGTAAAGCAGAGGAGAGACTTTTCAGTTAAATATGGAGTGAATGACTTCTGTGCTGAACCTGATATTTAATAATCACTAACATTTATAGCTGTCAGATAATCTGTAAGCTATTTAGGCTATTTAAAAGTCAGATACAGTATTTATAACTGACCCAGAGCTTCCAGTACATGAGTTGTGTTTACACTGCTGTTTTTAGTTTAAGTGAGCAGGCTGACTGACTATGGAAGGGATGTCTTTCTTGGTGAACCAGTTTTTGGTCCCTTAAGCAGTGAAGGCCATTGCCAAAACCTGCTGGAAGATGTAATCAGCTAATTTCTAGCTGATTTAATATGCTAGGAAACAGCACTCTGAGCCGCCAGCTTCCCTAGCAATGCATAACCAAGAACGAGAATCCAACATCTAAACGCTTCACCATAAGCACAGAACTTAGATGAAACACCCTCCTCAACCAACATATCGGCAAGTATAGAGTTGGACAAAGGGATAGAATCCATTATTTATGACACTAGTAAATGTATTAAGAAAAGAACAGATGTTAGAGTAAGAATAAAGACAAGTTCTGAATGAGTGGGAATTCAGTCAGTAAGTAAAAATACCGATGGGCTACGTGTAAAAAAAAAGACAATTTAATATAAATTGTTGTGAAAACTAATTCAGCATCATCATTAGTCTACAGAATGCATAATGCATTATGGATAATGAAGAGTTAAATTAAGTATAAACAGCTGAGAAACCAGATTTTTTTTCTCACTCATTGCTACATATAAATTCAAATTTGACATCTTCTTTTTGCAAAATGTGTCTATAAATATCCAGAAATGTACCTAAAGAAACAACTACTGTGGTAAAATGTCTCTTTCACCACTTTATTATTTATTCCTGCTTTTATTTTCTGCTTTTTAAATTTGATTTTAAAAACTTCAACTAAAGCATACATTTACAATATTTACCAAATTTAAACAGAGCATTTTGGGTATTTTAAAATCAATAAAACTCATATTCTTCTGGGTATTAAATGTAAAAAGAAAACAATAAATTGAGACTTACTGAGGATAATGGAACAGGATCTCTCCTTTTCTTTTGTGAGCAGTTCATGCTGGGCCGTGCACGTCATCTTCTGCCCATCAGACAGCTTGGAGCTGTTCAGCGTCACAACGAGACTTTCTGTGACCTGGAAGTCGCCGTCCTCTTCCCAGCGCAACTTCGGCGTCGGATACGCACCAAACCAGGAGCAGTTCAGCTGGACGCTTGAGGTGTCTTGTGTTTGGACGACCATACAGTCAGGGTGTGTGCTCGGTACATCTATCCAAAACATAAGCAGTGAGAAAAACGTGATAAACTACAGCAAAAGTACTAATTTAATTAATTTCACGGAAAATAATTATCCTTTGTTATATTGACGCATAGTCAGATTTATGAAACCTAAATGATAATGAGACCTGTTCCTAGCTACCTTTCCTTGAGCTTTTAAGGGGGAAAAAAGTAACGTATTGAACAACTCAGTGGTGAAGAAACTTTTTTTTTTTTACTGTAATCAAGTGTAATTTAAAAAATATGACAAAACACAGCTGAAAACTCAGGGATAAAGATAAGGAGAGGTTTCTGAAAATGGAGAGAATGTGGACAACTGCAACTCCTTGGTGAAACTGCAGAGATCCACTGCTAAGAAGAGAATCTTTGAAACCATCACCAAATTATTCCTAAAGAAAAGTTTAGGCTTAAATACAAAGCTACTACTGCACTATAGGAGACACTGTCCCCAAGATGAGACAAGGTGCTGGCTGCTTCTTGATGTGGGGATGCATTTCTTTTAGGGGGGCAGAGCTGATAAGAGGATGGAAGGAGCTAAATGAGCAGCTGTGTAAGAAAAAAAAAAAGATTCATCAGGTTTTCTTAAAGATTTCCATTTTTCTTTAGATGTTTTCTGACTTCACATATTTCTACTTTAGTACTTAAACAGAAAAGGTAATTTTCCGATGATAAAGTCACTGACTCCTGGTCTATAAGACATTGAGACAGAAAGATGCTCCAAAAATCAAGGAATGAACCAGCAATCTCCCAGCAGATATTCGAAAAATGTTAAACTTTTTCACAAAGACACAATTTTCTCTAATTCCTCATTTAATGTGCAAAAACATCCTGGCATCAGAGCTCCAGCCAGAGCAGACTTTTCTACTCCAGCCACTTACAGTAAATCAGCAGCTCAGTCCTGTTATCAACCCTGCGCTTAGAGAAGGTGTTGAGGGCAGTGCAGGTATAAACTCCTTGAGACTCAGGCTCTATGTTCTGTATGGAGTGCTCCAGGACTGGAAGTACGGTGGAAGCCAGGCTTATGTTATTGGCTGAAGCTCCACTGAAGGTCAGGTTTAGCTGCTGAGACGGGTAGGACAAGGAGAGGCATTTAAAGTAGATGCTGCTTCCTCTCTGAGTGACAAGTGTCCCGTTGAGGAGCTTAACAGCTGGGAAGATGGTTGCAGATACGTTGTTTGGTCCAACTGAAATAAAAAAGTTCAGCGTGTCACAACCATCAATAATCTCAAAGTAAGTCAGTCGTGTTAAATTAACATAGCACTGTTCATTTTGCATCTTTTTTTAAGATAAAAACAATATACAGTTGTATTTGGACGTTATCTTTGTCAAAATTCTAAAAGAAATAATTTCATTGGATTGACCAACAATAGGAGCAAAGAGAAAGCCCAAAGGAGAGCTTCTGAACAGCTGCAGATTCCAACATCAGCATCTTACATAATTATCAGAAAATTTAATTTATAGCTAATAATACCAACACTCGAAGCTGCTAGTATTAGTAGTTTACAGAATTATAATAAGCTTTAAAGGTCTGTTGTTGCTGCATAAAAAATAATGCTTTCCAGTGAGCTTTAAGGAAGCATTTCTGTGTCTCTCATGAAATGCATTGATTGCTGATCTAGTTTTTATTAATTATTATCTAATTTTAACTTTGTGTATCTGGATCGGCTATGCACACATTTTTGAAAAATCTGGAAAAAACTCCACAATGTAAAAGATAAAAACAACCATCTCCAGTGTTGGTTACCTTTCTGAGAGAGGTTAGTGATGCAGACATTAAATGGTGAAAATTAATGAGCATGAAAATCCAAAACTCAATGGGAAACTTAATATGGAAATATAATATAAAATATAAGTTTTAACTCATTGATAAAAAAAAGTGTAACATAATGTATAGTTAATTCAGTTCAATTAAAAAATGAATGATTAATTATTGTTGTAGTAACTCATATTTTTTTTATTATCCAGGTCTTGTTGGTATTAATAGCTGTAGGCTGGAAGGATCTTCTGTATCAGTCTGTCTTGGGCCAGATCTGGAGAAGCCTCTTACTGAAGACACTGTTGTTTAAAAACCTTCTGAAGAGGATGCTCACTGTTGTCCATAATATTCTTCACTTTATGAAGAATTCTCCTTTGTGAAATTATCTCTAGGGATTCCTGAGGAGTTCCTAGAGCAGAGCCGGACGTCTTCATGGGCTTACTGAGCTTTTTACTCCAGCAGATGATGGAAGAGAGATCAGACTTTCAAGAACTGACTTATAGAAGATATGTAGCATCTTGTTGCAAAAGCTGAAGGACCTACTGTATGCTTCCTTAGTACGTCCAGTCTGCTCTGTCCCTTCTTATAGACAACTGCATGGTTCTGTCACCAGTATAGTTTGCTGTCCAGTTGAACACCAAATTATTTATACTCCTGCACCACCTCCACTTGTTCTCCCATAAAGACTTCTAGAAACAAACAGGTGAAAGGTGGAGGGAGCAGCACCGTTTGGCTGAAAACCCACTTATAGAAGCAGGAGGGGCAATGGAAGAACAAGGAAGGGTGTCCATGTGGCTGTGGGCACGAGAGAAAGCTGCTGAGTTTGTTCCTGAACTGAATTTGTTAAAGAATGTATCAGTTTATTGCCTCTGTCCAGACTTCCCCCTGTCTGATCATCCTCTGCTTCTTCTTCCCTGAACACTCATCTCTGATATTGTTCTGCTGGGGTTTGTTTTCCAGCCTTCCTGTATGCCTTAGAACACTTGTGATCTATGGTTTATTATTTGGGATGCATTTCATTGTTCTGGGAGGGATGCTGTTATCTACACAGAAGTTTATGTAGTCAGTCACACTGATGTCCTCTCCATGTGGCTGACACAGTGCATCCCAATCTGTAGCCTCAAAACAACCTTGCAGGGTTTCTCCAGCTTCCTGTGACCATTTTCCATCAGTTCTTTTTAATACAGGTTGTCTCTTATAAAGTGGCTTATATGCGAAGAAAAACAAGATTGTGATCTGATTTCCCAAGAGGAGGTCTTACTTTGGAGAATTAGGAGTTCTTGAAAAACTGTTGGATCGTTGGCAGTGTGGCAGAGAGTGAGGTGTGAATGAAATCAACAGTTATTGCCACAAATGCATTTGGCTGTTGTGTGATGATTTCATCACATGCAGTGTTGGCAACAGCAGCAGGTGGAATGTAAACCAACTGCAAACAGTCTAATATCTTGGCTGCAGTGATGAATCTTTACAGTCCCATATCCTGGATGACACCATCTATTGTTCACAAGCACTGCCAACCCACCTCCTTTGAATTTTTAAGTCTTCTTTAAATTCTTGCTTGTTTGGTCAGAAAGCCTGACAGAGAGACACTGGATTCTGAGATGTGATCCTGCAGCCAAGTTTCAGTAAAACACATAATGCTCCATTACCAGTATACTGGCTGGGTCCTTGCGTGGGCTGGAGTTATTCTAACTTGTTTCCTAAAGATCTCAAATTGCTCATGATGATTGATTCAAGAGATGGTTTAAATGTCTTCTTCCTCTCTTGCTTCCTTGCTTTTGCTATGCATCCACGGTACCTCCTTTCCAACTTAGCTTCTTGCGGAAGAATTTGAAGTATTATTTCAGTTTTAGAGATGTTAATGAGCTGCTAATAGATGTAAACATATCAAATTTCTATGGTTGCTGTGGTTACACGTCATAAAAAGTATCCAAAAAAGACAAAAATATCAGTGAAAATCCCTCCAGTTTCACAGAATTCAATAACAGAGTCAGAAAATATCAGGAAAAAAGAAACATTATTGAAAAATTGAGGAACTAAAGAATATCAGTCTAACAGAGCTACTCCAACATGCAGCCACCTTAAGCAGCAACGCTCTAGAATATCTATAATATAATAGTTATGAATCTCTTTGAATTGTCCTGTTAATGGATTTTGTAAAGCAGCTTTTAGTAGGATTTATAACACAATCCTTGGGATCAGCTTTTATTTTGTGTTGAAAAAGTTAAGATGCTATAATAAGCATTTGTTTTACCTGAACAATCTTGAAAGACATTAAATGTGGCTTAGATAATAGTCTTGCTGCATTACTGCCTCACCAATTATCCACAATTGAGGCATTGTAGCTTTGAAAGGCTGATTTCACTCAGCCTTTAGTTGTAGTTTCAAATAGTTTCATGATTTGATGTTTTAGATAATCTGTTTCTGTTGGATGAGAAATCTTTTCTCTATTATAATACTATTATAAATGCTCAACTCATTATTTTTCTACACTTCTGATAATTCCAAAAAAGAAAATTAAAAACATTTCACTGGACTTTGTTTCCAAGTTTTAAGACATTTCATTTCCCATCCAAGAAGCTTTTTCAATTCAAAATTGACAGAATAATGTTGAGTTTGAGATTTTTTTTTACAGTAGCCCAACAAAGCCTTGTTTTTGTTTTGAAAACATGTAAATTGAAACGGACGGAAATAGAATGGGGATCGTTTGGTGATAACAGCCGAAAAAAGAATCAAAATCATTAAAAAATGCTATATATTCTTCAAAAGCCAAAATCTGCATGTTGTAAAGATCTTCCTACTTCAACATTACAGCTCCAAGTTTTACAGAAACCTGCTACACCCATGCACTAGTTTAAGTTGAGCTGAATGAGATAAACATCTGAAAAATGTATGTTAGTTGACTGGCCCTTTAAGACTGAGTTTGGACATTAGTGTTTAACTGGTAACCAGACACCCATCAGGATTTAGGGTTTATAGAACTAGGCTATGGAAATCTGATTGGTCATAACCACAATCCAAACAGGATTTAAAATATAAAAGGGACTGAGTGTTTTATCTAGGAAAGCACAGCTCATTCATGGGAGCAGGCGTGTGGTTATGTGGAAAAACCAGTTTGGTTGAAAATCTGCCTCAGTGACTGCAGGTAACCAACGCCCAGGACCATAATCCCATTAATCTGGACCCAATGTGGAGGTCCTGCTCTTCTACTTACGTATAACCTGAAGCTGGACTCGCTCATTAACGGTGCTGTTGTCTGATAATCCGGAGCTGCACAAGAAGGAGCCTGAATCCTCAGTAATAACCGGAGAGATGCTCAGACTGCCGTTCGGCTCCAAGGTGTACCTGTGGTCTGCAGGATCAGTGTCCGTGAAAGGGCCTCCCTTTGAGGCTATGATGTGTCCATCTTTTATCCATGACGTCCAGACACGCGCTGCTCTCTGGCCGGCGCAATCAAGTATCACCGAGTCACCAGGTGTGGCTGACAGCACGGTTTCGGTGTCGTTGCCCGAAACTGCCGCTTTAAAAAGAAGAAAGGTTATTTTCATCTCACCTGGAAAAAAAAAAATAATCTCTATACATCACAACTCACCTTCTGCGGATAAAATAAGTAATATTAGCGGTAAAGGAGCGATTGTGTTCATGTTACTTATTCGACATAGCCCTCAGAAAGTCTGGGAAAAATAAAAACCTGTAACAAGTCTGACTAGTCCACCTGTTTGCACCTGGCTATGGCAGCGATGATGCCTTTAAGGACAAAATAAAATGTCACCGATCTGACATGATGGGCCACCTCTGCACATTTCACCGACCTGCTTTGTTGACAAGAGCGCACAGGTCCGAAAACACCGTCAGCAATAAACCACACCTATAGAGCTCACCTTCTTAAAGAGACAGTAGCAGCATTTCTACCTGCGCGGCTCACCCAAGTTCTATGCGGTTATAACAGCTGAGTAACAAGCAGGTTCTACTGCATGTTCCTAGAAGAAAACACCTGACAGGAAATCAGTATTATTCCAGTGTTACACTCAAGGAAAAAAAACGATTATTTTTTTTTTTATTATTATTATAAAAGTAGCTCGAAAATGTCCTTTTCTGAAGCCTTTTATCATTTTACTTTAATTTATTCATTCATTTTATTCTTTAAAGTTTTTAAAAGATTTTCTACACATAAAATATTAAAATCTGAATCACATGAAGCTATGTATGGATAAAAAGAAGAATAATTCGATAGGAAATATATCTTTAAAAAAATCATAAAATGAAAAAATGTAGAAATTCTACATGTATTATAAATTTTAAACAATCATTGTAACAATAATTATAATCATGATAAAATATGTGTGATTGTGTTTAATTGTGAATGAATTAATTAAACAGCCGATGTAATAAGCTTCAAGACTCCCTTCCGTTAAAAATGTTAAAATGGCCCAGTCTATTCATGTTTTTAAGTTGTTGTTGAAAACTCACCTTTTTGCTTTGGCCTTTAACAGAAGCTAAGCAGGTCTCATGTGTTTTATTATTTGTATTATTATAATTATCTTATTTTTTATGTTAGTGTAACTTGTAATTAACTTTTTACTCATTTGTTGCACTTTATGTTTGTTGTACAATACTTTGGGCAGATGTAGCTGTTTTTAAATGTGCTATAGAAATAATGTTGACATTGACATACCGTACTAAATCGGTTTTATATGATGGTATACACTGACATGGCCGTGACTGACTTGTTCCTTATAACAATGGAATATATACAGAAGTTACAAGTTTATGTCTCACTTAATGAACTAAAATATGTGATCTTGCTCTGTTCTTTTCTTGTTTTTCATTATTTTGTTCTTTGCCCCTATGAAAAAACTAAACCCCCTCCCTAACTCCCTGTGAATATTGTCTAGAACCACCACTGCCCCAGACCAAAAATCAAAGTGTCTGATTCTGAAAACAGAAGTAAATGGAGTGTAGCGGTTGAAGGTGGCCTGACCTATAGGGGGTCAGTGGGAATTTCAAGGATACACTGGTTAAAGTTTTTATTTTGCTTATTTTAAAGCAAACACTACTTTCATGTTGTGTCTTTGTCCAGATAAGGGCTGCAGAATGACAAAGAAAACCCATGCTTTAAGTTGTTGTCATAAATAATTATGTCCAGTAGCTCAAACTCTTATCCCTGCATGAAAATGGTCTATTTAATGTTTTCTCTCTAAAGCTGCCATCAACACCTTTGTTTATAGATGTTGGAGATCGGCCTATTTTTCCAGTGTAGTCCTGTTTCTCTGGTCGCGACTGGCCGGATGTGCTCTCTTCATCCTCTGACATGGGCATGGCTCAGAGTTCGTCTGCCTGGCTCTGTGTTTCCTGGACTTTTACAGTTGCTTTTTGTATCTCTGCTTCTGTCTCCTTGAACCCCAGTCGGCCTCAGCCAATGGCCGCTCACACTGAGCCTGGTTCTGCTGGAGGCTTCATCCTGTTAAAAGGGAATTTTTCCTAAAGTGCCTTGAGATGACATGTGTTGTGAATTGGTGCTATATAAATAAACTGAATTGAATTAAATTAAATGAATTAGACCTGACAGGATGTGTGCCTCTTTTTCTGGCAGGTGGTAAGCAGGTTCCAACTATCAACAGGGACAGCTAACCGATACTATTTCCCACATAAAGAGCAGGCAGGCTCAGCAGAGACACCCACAGCACTAACAGCACCAGCATCAGCACTGAGATCAACGCTGAGGTGGAGAGATGTCCGCTGGTGATGGACGTTCTGCCCTCAACCCAACCCAATGAATACACTGATAGATTTACAGATTGAAATTGGTTTGCAAAATAAAATACAAAACAGAAACAATCTTGTCTCTCTGATTTTTTTTGTTTACTTTGACTGTAGGAATCAGGCAACCAATACTGACCCATTAAATGCAAGGGTCAGCATTCACCTAAACTTTGTACATTATAAAGATATTTTTATTGTTTCTTTAAATTTCTAATTTCATTTTAGACGTAATTTTCAATTGCTCTATAAATGAGGGCATCACATTGGGTCCTTAAGGGCCCCTATGTGCCCGCAGGCACTATGTCGATGAGCCCTGCTCTAGAGTTTGTTTCATTTTTGATCTGCTTAATTTGGGGCAACAAATAAAAACCTTCAAGGCTGTTAAAAAGCCAGATTAGATGGGAAATATCTGAAACCATTTGATTGGTATGAGAAGCATCTAGAGGGACATTCATAAATATGTTATTATTAATGTAATTTCTTTAATCTATGATTCTCCACAAACGTATCCAACCATAAATACTGAGGATTGAATAGAAGTTCTGGTTAATTTAACAGCAGAGTTGCTTTGTCTGCTTTAATAGAACCTGTTTTTAAAAATGTCTGAAAAGTTATTCTGACTTCTATTGCAGCCCCATAGATGTATCCTCTTGCAGTGATTACATGCATTGAACCAAAAAGATGAAAAAGATACAGAAATATATTTTGTACAGAGCCATCATTTTAAACAAATTTAAAAACATTTAAATTACAGGTGAGAATATAACAACCGAGGGGCGAATGCTTTTGCAAGGCACTAAAGTATCAAACGATTCTGAAGAAACTTTAGTTGAAAATGTTTAACAGAAATTATGTTGTGATCTGAAAAGTATGCTTGATCTTGTTAGGGACTGCATTTCAGCAAGATGCTTATAAATTAATATTTGAAAGACTGGCCATCTAGGTCATCTACGGGATATTGCCTTAAATATCCAGTAGATGGCGCTAAGCAGTAGATAAAAACAGGATTGTGTGTGCTCTCTGGAAGATTTCAGATCAAGTGGATGGATTTAGAATTCATGTTAAAGCAATCTTTACTTTGTTGGTTTGGCTGAAAGGAGGGTTCTGTTAGCTGAATATCACCAGGTTGGAGTGTTTCACACACCAACCAAGTCTCCACAGGTATACAGTCATGGGACAATAAATGATTAGACCCTATTTACCAGCAATCTTAATGTCCGGTACAAATAAAGTCTTGTGGTTCAATAGAACGACAATATAAATTTTAATTTAAGAGTTGATATCAAGTTATTTTCTTTTTTTATTTTGATAATGACCAAAGTCATTGGAGTTCCTACATCAATAGTAATGGCAATCCAATGTTAACAGCTTTTAGGCCTTTCATCTTTATTTTTAGGTCGTTTTCAAATAATAATCAAAGGATTAGAGAAATTGATTCTGTAACCAATGTTTTTTATTGACTGTATTGACTACTTAAGGGGACAGAGTTACATCCAAAATTCCTCTAGTCCTTAATGTTTAGCTCTACTTACCTGTTTAGCGCGTTCTTTACTACACATGTATGCAATCAGTTTAGATTAACAGTATTTATAGTAGATTTGACTCTTAAGGAGTAAATTAAATATATAAACAAACTATCTGCTTTTTGAGGCAGGTGTTTAATTTTCACCTCTTTATCTGGAGAAAAAGAAAGTATAGTTTTATAAAAGCAAGTGGGATTGTGACAAAAAACACGGGAAAATTACACAATGAACTGATTTGCAAATATATTTTTTTAAAGACTGTAAAACAAGAAATTTAAATAAAGAGAGTAAATAAAGAATAGTTAAACTGGTCAGACCAAAACCCAAGGAAGCCAAGCAAGAGGAGGGATAAGCCCAGACTTTCTCCCATGTTGCAACACAGCACTGCTCTGCTATTATAGAGGGCTGAAGGAAACAAGCCAGGGGTTCCCATTGGGTGAATGCTACCCTCCAAACGATAGAGCCACCCCTGCACCAGCTCAGTCAGTTGCCTGACGGGGTTATTGCAGCAAATAAAAAAGGAATCTTTTTACCACCTTCAAGGAGGGTTATACTGTTAGGAGAGTCTGTCTGTCTATTGACGGCCTCAGCATCAGACTCAAAAAGTCGGGGTATTTTCTTAAAGACAAAAACACAGGAAAGGAAACGTTGTTGGTTTTTTAGCAGAATCAACTAAAAACATATTAACAGATTTTATGGGTTTTCTTTCTTTGTTTTTTTTTAATCAAAGGTGTTCCTCTTGTCAAGGTAATGATCCAGATCAAGTGCGAGTGTTATCTATAGATGTAAGTCACAATTTGGGGCAAAATTTGCTGCTTAGCAGAGAGCTGCGTTCTTATAGTGGTTTTCTAGATTTCATTTGATTTATGTTGTACATTTTTAAGGTTCCAATGAATCGCTTTAGCCACAGAATGTAGTAATACTGTGATTAGTTTCACAAAGCTGTTCTTACTCAACTTCCTAAAAGCAGTTTTCTTCTGTCTAAATTAATTATAAATTTTATTGAATAAATTATTATAGATAAAGATTAATTGTCCCACAATGGGGAAATTCTGGTGTTTACAACAGCAAAAAGATTATAGAAAAAATTGTCATATGGACCTTAGGAAAATGTATAAGAATAAAATAATAGTGAAAAGTTAGATAAACAATAAAATGCTTGAGCAACATAAAGTGACAGAACAAATGGAGGGGAAATCTTTTATTTTAGAATCTAGATCCTGGTGAGGATCTTATTCATCTGAACATTTAATCCCACCTGCATCTGCTTCACTGAAGGCTTGAGGCATGAAAACATTGATTGGACACAAACAGCAAACCCCCCTTTAAAGCAAATTCATCTGCATCACTAAATGCCCAATGCACAATTCTGAGTGATTCAATTAAATTCCAAAGTACTTTGTTGCTCTCAAAGTAAAATAATGTTTTAAAAAAAACATAGTTTATTAGTTACATTAGCATTGTGATGATTGAGCATCTTATGAGAACATTCACAAAACACAACTTTTTATTCACAAAGATTCACAAAACACACCAAACATGTATGTTTTTAGTCAGTAAGAGCACAATTATAAATATATGAAATGAAGTTTAGATGCATTCAGCATTCAGTCACCTCACCACATGCCTCTGCTCTAGCATTGTTCTTCAGCCAACCATTCTGTAAGGTTCTGCTTAAGGCTCTCAGGTTGGAGACTGCCCTGGTCTTCAACTAATCTTCCACCCCATTTCCTCATCATGATCTCAACAAGCTCCATCTGACATCTGGCCTCCACTGCACCACCAGTGTTCAGATCCCGGGGGGGAGACATATCTAATCCTGATCTCACAATGCTCATCCAAGCTCATCTCATTCGCAGCTTCAGTGCCTTCTGCCTGGGTCTGAGCGCCAAAGAACTGTCAGATTCATCAATAAATTTCTCTAATGTCATTTTTCTTTTGTGTGTGTGAGTCTCTCCAGCTTGAACATAACATTAAAGCCGTACAGTGGGTAAAACTAGCCTAAAATGGGTTCTACAGAACAAAATCCTTAAAGATACAAATAAATGAGCTACAGCATTGCTGTAAGAGGGAATGTTTTGGAGAGGTTATCATTAAACATCCTTTGGAATTAACCTCTAAATAAAATTTGATTTTTAGAACTGTATAAAAAAGGTATAGTTCTCATTATTCTTGTATTAAACTAACAGATATAATTAAAGTGATACAAAGTGACCTAAAACAAACAAACAAAAAAAAAGTCAATAATGCATTTTTTTTAAAAACATACTTTATAGTTCCCAAAAGTGAAATTCAGTTTTGGTACAGCCCGTCCAAACATAGGGGTGGGATGCTGTGTCTGAGGCCATGCTGCAGTGAAAGATGGCACTCTCAATGTCAGACTGTGAGAGAAAAATGTGATGAGAGTAGAAAAAGACCAGCTTCCACTTCACTTTATTTGATATAATGTAGTAAGGCAACATGAAAAAAAAACAACAACCCAAAAACCACTTAAAATGCATCTCATTTACCACAAAGACTAAGAGGAACTCAGAGGGACTGTGAGGAAAGGATAATGAACAACAACCAATCATGTTTTTCTGTTGTAACATGTCCTTATACAGTAAGTATTAACAAAGCTGGCAATCATGACTTTATTTGGTGTTGCATCAAATGAAATCAGGTCCTCCTCCAAAAACCAGGTATTAAAGAACCTGCAGGCCAGCTATTTCTACCCCTATCAAGTCTTTGCAGGTTTATTAGATCAACTAGAAGAAGACCCTTTCATCTGATGAAAAACTCTTCCATCATCTAAACCAGGCAAGATGCTCATCTTCTTTATACCTATATACATATATTACCTCATTTGATATATGGTCTAATTATATGACTAAAAAAAAGATCCAATTTTAGATCATTACATCTGGTTGGATCATTAGACTTTTGTATAACGCAGTAACAAAAACTGACATGTGTTCAATAATTAGAGCTTCAACTGTTGTCCCCCTGCGGCTGCGAGGAAGCTATTAACAGGCAGAAACAAAATTATAACAAATAATAAGAAAAAGAAATGGATCAGTAATTTACTTTAATCATATATCCTGTAATATATGCACTCAATAATAATAATAATAAAATAAAACAATATTCTATTCTCTTCAAACTAAGACAAACTAAACAAAAAAATAGGGCTACTGTTTAGAAAAATGACATAATGTATATAATACATATATATTCATTTTATAAATTTTTTGCCAATTAGCTTTTAGTTTGTTCAAAACTTGGACCAAGCTGGTTTTTGTTCTAAAAGTAAATTGGATTGGAATTGACTTAATCAAATAAAAAGTTCAAATTGCAAAGAAAAACTTAAAATAGTAATAAAGAAATAAACAGAAATTAGGTCCTGACTTAAAAGTGCCAATTTGTGGATTTGTTCAAAGGAAGTGAAATTCAAACAATTAACATCCATCAGGACTTTTTTGTAGCAGACTTGAAATATTTGAATACATTTCTTTTATTTCCAAAAAAAAAAAAAAGAACAAAATAAATAAAATTTGCTGTAATTTTAGTTTAGCTCTTATCTAATACTTTTATTGTGTTAAAGTACTGCTTGGTTTAAGGCAGCATTTTAACTGATAATGATTTGTTTTACTTTTAGGCTCCGATGATGTTGCTGCTGGTTCTGTTGTTGTCCAGTGCTCAGGACACTGTGGGAATACAGTCACCCAATGAAAAAGGTAAGAAAGAAGAGGGAGGACATATATATATATATATATATATATATATATATATATAGATTTAGATTGATTTTTTAGAGCTGTTCTTGTAATCAGTCTGTAACCTCCAGCAGAGAGAGACAAAGAACTTTGTATCATTAGCTTAAGCTTTCAGATTTAGGATTTACAAGAAGGAAATGTAGCAAAGATTAAAAGACAGAGGATAAACTATCAAAAAGCACCAGGTGTCTGTATTTAAAGGTTATTTTTTAGAATTAAAATAAAATAACTTTTGTTCTTTTTCAGTCTTCTCCCTGAGCCCAGATGCAGCTGGTGCTACTGCACTCATATCTAACCAATCCATCTCTACCACCCGCCGTCTTCTGCCTCCTGCTAAGTTCCCACAGAAGAACCCTGCCGACTTGAAGCTCTCCACTAGTGACACAGGCAGTCTGCAGTGGGAGAGTTGGCAGGGTTCCCTTCCTGAAGATGCCGTTTACATTTTTAACGACTATGCTACTCGTATTGACTACGTCTGCAAAGTTAAATGCAGATCTGGCTTTTACAACGACTACATGGGTCCTTACTGCCACTACCCTGATGATGGTCTAGAATATCGTTCCAGTAGGTTTCAAATCCTTGTGAACAAAAAAAATTTTGAGGACTTGGAGTGGAAGACCGATTCATATGGTTCTGTTCCGAGGAATTCAGTCGATACCTGTTTAAGTGAAAAAATCTATGTAGCAAAAAATAAGTACGGTCTGGGGATGGTGTATCAAAAGGATGAATGCTTTTATCTTCCCTGGGAGGGTTCTGAATATTGGTACAAGACAACATATGAGGTCCTGACCAGCATGAAGGGTAAAAGCACAGAGATTAAAAATGTTAAGTATGAAAAAGATCACGCTAAAATCTCCAAGGATTCTCCAAAAGTCCTCAAGAGCTCTGAAGTTACAAACAGGAACGATGAAACTTTGAAAAAAACAGTTACATTGAGTCAGACTACGACAGAACAGAATCAATGGGACACCAGCTCCTCCATTACACTTGGTGTAAAAACCAGCATTACAGTAGGTATTCCTTCAATTGTGCAGGGGAGCATTGAATTCAGTGTTGAGGAAACAAAAACAGTATCAAAAGGTGGTAGCCTGACAGAGGAGAACACCCACACCATCACTTTAGAGCTGAATGTGCCACCGAAACACATGTGCAGGGTTGTTATGTATGGTTATCGGTATAAAATGGACATCCCATTCACTGCCAGCCTCTATCGTACCTATGAAGATGGACAGACTAGATCACTTGACATCAATGGAATTTATCGAGGAGTCCAAACTGGTGAAGTTAAGGCTGAGGTGGAACCGTGTATACCTATAAATTAAGGGGCAAAAAGACATGAGATACATGTAATATTGAAAAATGGCTAAAGTGTAGTTTGCATAACTTTTCTGAGCTTTCAATATAGAGCTATTAGCATTGTAATTGTATTCGTAATGGCATCGAATATTTACTATCCAAACCTTTTGAAAAGAAAATCAGTTTTTTGTTTTAAATAAAAAAAATCTTATTATGTTTTTTTTTTTAAAAAAAGATACCCTAAAATAAAACTGTGAGGAAACACAGCTCTTCTTAAAATCTGCCAAAGAAAGAAAGGTGAACCCAACCAAATTATTTCCCAACAGCAACAAGCTGCACTGAACCCAAATGCCTAAATGATCCATGTTACAATAAATGTGATTGTTTATCTCTGATACACAATACATAATTTAAAAAAATAAAAATTTTTTTCTTTTGATTGAAATATACCAAAATTTTAGAACTGTCACTTTAAAACTAAGATATCGGATGTTAATAAGCATTGAGAACAGTGCAAGCACATGAAATGAGTGGGCCTCTGAAGGTGTCAAATATAGGGATCTAACCACACAATAACAAAGGAGAAATTTTTATATATTTTTGACTAAGAGCATTTTTATTTAATTTTACTAAAGATCCCCTGATTTAAAGCTGATCCAGATTCAGCCAGTTATCTGTTGTAATCATTGTTTTCATTGTACCTTTTTCGCACTATTCTATGCAAATAAAGCATCTTCTTTGGCATAAATCAAGCTTGTAAGCAAATGAAATAAAACAGCTGCAATGTGCTGGAACAAACATGGACTCCTCATTCTTTAATTGTGTTTTTTTGTGTTTCTTCTATGTCAAACCTTCTCTTATGCCAGTATATTAACCTTCACCTTCGATAATATGAAAACAAAACGTTAAATTTTAAAACACGCTGATAAGTTTTACTATTGGGTTTGTTACCAGTTTATCACACAATCCTTTATCAGGGAGTATTAGGCTGAATTCACATCATATTTGTTTAACAGGTATCAGGTCATTTAGAAGTCATCACAGCTAGTTAGTCAGAATTGTGATTTAGGAACTACTGTAATGAGATCCGTTTTTAAGAACAAAAACGACTTCTGTAGATTTACATTTTTTGCCGTGCAGGGCAACATCTCAGCCAATCACTTTTGGACTTAAGTGGACTATCATTAACATAAAGGCATAAAGTTGTTTATTATCATAAAAATATGTTCCTATGAACGATCTACAGAGCAAACTGCTTTATTATAATACAATATGTTCCTAGTATCCTATTTTTTGGCATGGCTGGTTCTAGACGGGCCCAAGCCTCTGTAGAACTGGCCCTAGCCGCTGCTATGGCACCTTTGCTGAAAACACACAGCAAAAATGTAGATTTAAGTAGGTCCATTTTCTTGAAGTGTATTTTTTCTTGACCTAAGGAGGTTGATAATCGTAGCATTCTGAACAGGGAACCAGTGTCAAACATGCTGAGTTTGGTCTTCTCTGGCAAAAACCAGTTGAGCTCCAGCGTAGCGAGCAGACCTCTTCATAAGTTTGTAATGCTTTGGTCAGAGACATTCCTGCCAGCGTTGCGTTCGAGGTCCATTTGTAGGGCTGTGGCATATCTCATCCTGTTCCTCCTAAGCCAAAGGAGCAGATACCAGACCTGCTGATGGGTGAAGGAGCTCAAACAGTAATAGTCTGTGTTATACATGAGGGGAAATACTTCTCTCCACATATAGGATACACAGTGAGGATGTAATATGTATTGAAAGATGTTTTCTATTCATGCATGTTTAATTATTCATTTCCTAAACAAACCGTGATTGTAATAATAATTTATAATAGTTGTTTTTATTACTGATTATTTAATATACAACCATCCTAGCTGCTTTGACATTAGGTTATGGTTACAGTAGACTCCTCTCTCTCTCTCTCTCTCTCTATCTCTCTTCCATTGGGATCTTGGTGGGACCAGTTTCTATCTCTGGTTATTATGGGCGAGAGGTGAGGTACACCCCTAAACAGGTCGGCAGTGTGTTGCAGGCCGTGGCTCTCAAGTCTCATAAATGTTTAGATGTTTTTCAGGATCAAAACAGTGGTGATGAGCTGAATAAGTATTTACTTTGTTAAAATCAGAACGCCTGCAACGTAAAACAAGATTCCAACAAAGTAAAAAAGAGTTAAAAAAACAAACCACTGGACTTTGTTTTCCAAGTTTGAAGACGTTGTACTTCCCATTCAAGAAGCTTTTTTAAATTCAAAATGTCCGGATTAGCGTTGAGTTCCAGGCTTTATAAAGTAGCCCAACAAAGCCTTGGTTTGGGTTTGAAAACATGCAAATTTAACCGAAATAACTGGTTCACCGCTTAGTAATGGGGAGCTGTTGAGGTCGTTGTTGGCCTGCAATACCCAATACTGGCCTATGCCTCTGAAAAGGGGAGTTGTTAGGGGCATTGTTGGCCTGGCTGACTAGGCGAGATGTTTTGGTCGCCTTCGGGGGGGTGGGGGTTGAGATGATAGCGAGAAGGAATCAACTCTATTGCTGCATTGTAGGATTTAAAGAGCTGAAACTTGAGTCCGCCTCCTCTGTTTAACGTTGGTTTTTTAACATAAATGGGTTCGTTTACACCCCTTTCAACCCACCCGTCTTCTTTGTCCAAAATTGGAACATTCCGGTCCTCAAACGAATGTCCTTTGTCCATAAGGTGTAGACAGCAGAGTCTTGTCCGGAGGAGGAAGCCCATCTGTGTTTAGCAATGCATTTTAAAACTTTCTTGGAATGAATATGACCTGGATGACTGAGAAACTTCACCAGCATAAGACAGGATACACGTCCCTGAGGGGATCAGAACTGGGTGCAAAGAGTTCTGAACTTCATAGATAATTCTAGTCACTAAAATGTTCAGAATCATGAGGAGAATCAGTATCTTTTATTCCTCTTTTCAGATGTGTTTATCTCACTTTTGAAAAGAGGAACTTTGATTCATTTCCTCACAGGAACATTTTGATCTTAAGTTTTTTTTAAATAAAAAAAGGAACTATTTATGTATAAGCTAACTAGTTTAAATCAACCAATATCTGAATTTGATATAAAACGTAGTTTAGCTTATTAGACCTAAGTATATCATATTTTTTTCATGTATGCATATCAATTCAGTTGACAGGAATTAATCTGAGGTCAGAACATGATGGGTTTAATTTATTTTGCTATTTCTTTGTGACATTGTCCTAAATTTTGCACTATAAAGTTGTATCAATGACATATTTAGCAGTTTTAAAATCATCCCTCAATCATTTTCTGAATTAGCAGCTTGTATATCTATTAAAGCAATTCAACAATCTAAGAGAGGCTTTGCAGATGCATAAGGAAGCTTCATATCTTCCCACACATGTTATCTGGTAGATAAGTGTTGTTCATAACATATCTCAGCTCAGGTTCTGTTTTTTAAGTTATGTTTTAAAAATGAAAAAAAAAAGCAAAGTTTAAATGAGAAACTGCCTTTTTACAAATATGTTAAATACCATGTGCTGCTAATTATTGATAATAGTTTGATACATATAGTTAAAAACCGGATTGCATTTATATCAACTTAAAAACATAAAGAACCCATAGCAATTCACACCTTGGTTTGCCTTTTTCACACTTAGGGCGAGGTCAGTGTGAGCTTGAGAGTGCACAGACACTGAGAAAAAAGGCAGCAATATATATACATCTATCTATCTATCTATATATATATATATATGTATATTATCTAAATGTATTTTACTCTTTTTTTCATCAGTGTAAAATATGTTTTCACTCACACTTATAAGCCTGGTTTCATTATTTTCTTTATTATCTTAAAGTAAAATTCTTGAAGTGTATGAGAGTACAACAGCACATTTGAGAGAATAGTGGATCACATGGGGCCTCATATTATACCTGCAGTTCTCTTCTATTTAGAGTGCTACAGCTACAGTTCAACCCCTCCATCACTGAGTCCATCTTCACCTCCTCCATCACCATCTGATACGCTGGTGCCACCACCAAGGACAAGCGTAGACTGCAGCGTGTCATCCAGTCTGCAGAGAAGGTGATTGGCTGCAATCTTTGATGTCTGCAGGATCTGTACGCCTCCAAGACTCTAAGGTGTGCAGGGAAGAGCCACAAACTATTTCCGCCACTTACTTCTGGCAGGAGGCAGCGTTCTATGAGGACCAAGACCTCACGCCACGAGAGCGGTTTCTTCCCATTCACTACAAGCCTTATCAACAAGGCCCAGAGCCCCCCGTAACACTGACACTGCCTCTCTACCTCCCCCGTTCCAGACCTCCTGCATTACATTAACACACAGCCCACTGTTCATATAGTATATAGCTATATTCTATATATTGTATATTGTTTTACATTGCATATAAATATAGATTCTGTATTCTGTATATCATGAAGGGGAAATTATAAAAAGTGGGATGAGGCCGGATCACTTATCTTTATATATTCTCTGGATTGCTGATAACCCGAAAAAAGCGAAGTCACCTGTCGCCATTTTGGTACTCCCTACTCTCACAGAGTCATGCCATAGAATTGCCTTCATGCCTATAGAAGACGTTTCACAGGTAATTTTACAATCAGTGGGTGTATTAACCAAGAAAATCCATATATACGCTGATGTATCCTATAGTATAGTACAGTATGTAGCGTAACATACTTGCATTGTACTATATACACTCTTTTTATATTGTCTGTTGTATTTGTATCTTTAGAGGAATCCTGCTTTACCTCTGCCCTTTGAACTCTCTATAAGCTAATGGAACCAGAATTTCCCTGAAGGAGTAATCCCAAGGGATAATTAAATTGAAGTCTGATCCTAAGTCTAACATTAGTCTAGCTATCTGCGACCGACTCAAATACATTGACTGAGATAGCCATTGATATTGTGTCTAACATTAGAAAATAGAAAATACAGTGAGTAGAAAATAACTCCATGTTGTAATGTCAATTTAGTAATTTTCTTAAATGCGTGACACTGTCGTTTTTACAGTGTTTGGCATATTTCTCATTTTAAAAAATTCATGTGCTGAAATATATTGCATGTTATATTGACAAAAAAAAAAAAAAAAAATATATATATATATATATATATATATATATATATATATATATATATATATATATATATATATATAGCCTGTTATTTTATCAATTGATGTGATTTTGCTGGTGTAGAAAATAAAGCTCAATAATTTCAATAATTTAGCTCTATTGTGAATCTATGTTGGATTTAAAAGGTTAATAAACAGATACAGCAATTTGCAAATAGAAAAATACTATAGCATCAACAGTAATGTACTTGTAATTTAGTCTTGATCTGAAAACTTGTAATTATATATAATTATTATAACTATGTGATGAATACATGTATATTACCGGTGCAATATCAATTTAGGGTTTTGGCACATCTGTATTATTGTACTCAATTAACACATTAATTTTACTGTGATGGATTTGTATAATATGTTATATTACATAATTTATAGACTTCGAACTAACTTTGAAATGCAATGTGCCTATTTTCTTATTATGGATCACAGTAATCTACTCATGCAATGAAAACATAATTGTGTGTCAAAGTGGTGAATTTATCTTTTTTATTTTAAATGTCTTACGCTATGGAAAAGGATTAGGGCCACTGAAAAAAAGTTAACTGATTTTGAAATTTTATTTCAGTTTAATATGGGAAAAAAGTCAGAATTCTGACTTCCAATATTAAACTGAAATAAATTTTAAAAATTAGTTAACTTTTTTTAATATTTTCAGTTGCCCTAATCCTCTTTCATATTAAGACCCTCTGAAAATGAGAAAATCTTTTTGTTTGATGCTTTTGGCGCACCTTTTGTTTAAATTCCTATCTGTCTAACTGGGGAGTACCAACATGGCGGCAGGTGACTTCACTCCTTCCTGTACAACCAACGGGCTATCAGCAATCCAGGGAATAAATAGAAATCAGTGGGCCATACTCTGCCAACAAGTAGGGCCAAACATGGGCCAAAGGGCAGACGATCAATTTCCAAGGACAAATAACGCAACTGCGCCTCTTGGTGGCCACTTGCTGCTTCTGACGATGTTCCAGTTCAAATGCTTGGGCGTTAGTAGGAAAATGCAGATCCCAGTAGTGTGGTGCGCAGATATCCTTTTCTAGTAGTTATTCTGGTAGTTATTTTACTCTAGTTTATAACTACATGTGAAAAATGCAGTTTAAGTTATTTCCTCTAATCCTAATAAAAAAAATGAGGGATTGAATTTTGCAAGTTTAAACTTATTTTCATATTTAACCATTTAAATGGTTAAATCTAACCATTTCACAGTTATACCATTTGACTTACAAATGACACAAAGACTGAATATCGTACACATATACAAACACGCACAGGCACATAGTGAGCCTCAAGCCTCAAAGCAGTCACCAATATTTCCTGTAGTACTTGAATGCAGCAACCCTGATAGTTTGCAGCAGCGATTTGAAGCAGTGCTCCAGTCATTTCGGTTTAAACTATAATAATTATCATAGTCAGGTATTGAACGGCATAATGCCCGTCGATCTGAGCCAGTGGACTGGACCTCTGGCCTTGCAGGAAGTGGAGGAAAAGCCTGCGAAGCCTTTGACTGTTAAATACGAGGGTCTGGAGATCGACGAGCTGGGCAAAGTGCTAACTCCCACTCAGGTTAGTGAGCTAAGCTAAGCTAACAGCCTGAACAGCTGGACCACATAAACAATAAAACGACACCAGGTTCTGTTGAGAATTGACCTTTAAATAAGATATTTTTGCATCTGAGTGCCTTCATTGTTTGGCAACAATACATTGAGTTATATAATGCATTCGCCATGTGTGCAGATGGAAGAGACGCCCAATAGCGCCCCCTAGTGGATGTCACAGTAACTTCCAGAAGTGTTTACTTTAAAACGAAACAGAAATAGAATACAAAAATGATGCATACAATACAAAACAATAATAAAAAAAAAAAAACTGGTGTAAAGATATATTTTAAATGAAATGTAATAGGTTGTGCAATAAACTATTTTAATATTTGTAATTAAAATGGTAATGCTTAACATTGTCACTAATCTTAGGTGCAGAGTCGGCCTACCTGCATAGAGTGGGAAGGATGTGACCCCAGTAAACTCTACACTTTGGCCCTGACTGACCCTGATGCTCCAAGCAGGAAAGATCCCAAATTTAGGTGAGATTGAATGGATTTTGGGCCAGTTCCCAACGTCCTGCTTGTTGGACCCCCATCCAGTTATCCATCATTTATGATCAGAATTTTCTCAATAAATTAAACTACTTTCACTTTTATTTTTTTGCTGAAGAGAGTGGCACCACTTCCTAGTGGTCAACATGAAGGGGAATGATGTGTCGTCTGGCTGTGTGATGTCAGACTACGTCGGCTCAGGTCCTCCCAAAGGCACAGGTAAGATGGCAATCTTTAAAAAAAAAAAAATCACTTGAGTCAAAAAAAAAGGGACTTTTGTTTCACAATAGTAAACGATCTGAGAAGCTATTTAGTTCAAAAACACTCAGGAAAACAGATCCACAGCAAAATTAGTTGAGTAGTTTGTCAGGTTATACAAATAATTGGGAAGTGGGCAGAAAAGGATACATCATTATTTTCCTTAAACATCGATTTTCAAGTTTAGCCTCAGATTCTTAATTGGATCTGAACTTTAACTGGACCACTCTGACCAGAATCATTGTCCTACTTGAAGGTGAACCTCTGCTCCAGTATCAACTTGTTGTTTTTTTTTAGCATTTACTGTTTTCCTTCAGGTTTAACCGGAATTCAGATATTATATCTACCTATCAATCCAAATAACACTGCGAAAAGCGATTTTTCAAGAAAAGTATATTTTTTTTTGTCTAAAAAGAAGATATAATCAAAAGTAGTATGTTTGGAAAGTTATGTAAATTGGAGGAATATACACCCAACCATTTATTTCAACTCATTTTGAGCTTTAGCAGTTAAAGGGTGTAAATAATCGTTCCTCTGGTAAATAGTAAGGCCAAAGAGACCTGTATTTGATGATTTTTAAAAAGTATATCCGGGACAATTGTTAAAAAAAAAAAAAGATTTGATACATATAAATAAATATATATAAATATTTTGCATTATTATGGCGCCGTTTTCTGCAGGTTGATGCCAGGAACTTTTTTTGGTTATCAGTGTGACTTTCTCTTGTCACTCGTCTATTCTGGCCAGAGTTGTGTCGTTTATGGCCAATAGCCGTCTTTGAGGCAGAGCGGTTTCATTTTGATACGTTTAAACGTCTGCATGTTTGATGATCTAACACATTATGTTTGTTTTTATTTTTCTAACAGCTTAATGATGTTTCATGTCATGTTGACTCCAGATTGAGCAGTCTTGTATTTCCTCCCTCAGGTCTGCACAGGTATGTGTGGTTGGTGTACGAGCAACCGGGTAGCCTTTCCTGCTCAGAGGCCGTTCTCACCAACCGTTCTGGAGACGGACGCGGCAAGTTCCAGATCCAGACTTTCAGAAAGAAGTACAACCTGGGAGCCCCGGTGGCCGGTTCCTGCTACCAGGCTGAGTGGGACGATTATGTGCCCAAACTGTATGAGCAGCTGGCTGGAAAATAAGATGCCAAGAACTTGAATCTGCCGTTTCAGCAGCAGAAAAGAAAAAAGTTGGGCTTCTGCAGTGGAAATGTTTCGTTCACAGGTTTGTGCCACTAGAAGATATTTCATGTTAACCTAACACCTCATGTGAAACCACCAGTTCCACCCTGCAATAAACCTTTGAAACACCACTGCTGTCTTGCTTTTCTAAATGATTTTTTGTGTCCAATTAAGTTTTATTTCAAAAGAATGTTCACATCAGCCGATATCACTCTTTGTTAAAGGATGCGGATAAACTGAACATTTCATTTTTACACAAACATGTCTTGATGTGTTGAACATTGATAGCATGTTTTGTATTACTTGCCAAGCAACTTCAAAATCCAACATGACCGGTGTGCATTTAAAGAAACTTCTGGCAGCACTCAATTTACAAATACATCTGCTAATTTTCAGATGATATGAAAGTACTGTTAAATTAGCTAAATTGTAGCTAGCTTGGTTGCTAAAGCTAACACATATTGACTTGAACCAACAGTAAAGATTAGCTGAATTTATTTCTATTCACAGATTATCTTAGCCTAGTAAACTAGCACCACCCGCCAGCGGGCAAAATCATTTTTGCCTGCGAGTTTGAAAAAAATGTTAAACAATTACACATTTAATCTCACATTTAGTCTGGTTTATCAGGCTAAGATGAACTGATTTCAGAGGTAAAAAGCAACAGGAGTAACGTTCTTGGAGCATCATGTGCTCCAGTTCCCATTCTTAGGCAGTTTCCTCTCTGCGCATCTACTTTTAGTACCGTAGGCTGTTCATTTGGTGAGGTTATGTTTAAAAAAACTAAGGCCTTAAATAAAAAATAAACACCACTAAAGGCAATATTTATTATTTAATTTTATAGTATTTGCAAATGTCAGTTCTATTCAAACTTAACTAGAAGTTTTCTGCATTCTGCTTTAGTTTGTACTAAAAGCTTTAAAATAAAGTTTCCTCTGATTAACATTTGAGACGTCTGATTAAGAACCACAAAACGACTCTTTTTGATTGTTGGAGGTTGGGAGCATCTTTGTAATTACATTATTATTCTCTCTAAACAGATCAAAGCCCATCATGTACCACAGTCTGACAACCATGGCTTTGAAATGTATTTTAAACATATAAGGTAAATTACATGACGATAAATGTTAAGTTTTAAATGAGTTAAGACCATAGTGTAACTTTATAGCATGAGAGCTATGGTTTTTGGATCTTATTGAATCATTTCAGAATTATTAAATGGAAAGGAGGATAACAAATCTAAGCAATTCGCTGATTAATTATGTAGTTTAGGTTTCATTCATTATTGATTTGATATTTTTTATAATGAGTTCTTAACAAAACTACACTTTAAACATGATCAAAATATTTCTGAAATATTCCACTGTCATGGCAACTTTTAATATGTCTTAAAATATTCAGAATAAAACTGGACCCCACTGTTGAGAATGATGGAAGGTCACGCTTCTTTACTTTGTGTGATGAGCACTTTATTTACAAATATAATTAAAAGCTCTGACAGATTCATGCTTTCTTTAAACCTGGAAAAAAAAAAATAAAGTGCATGCATTAATAAAGCCTCATACTGTTCTGGTTTATAAGACGATACACAGCTTGAGAGTTGTGTAAAGCAAAAAGTTGGGAAAAAAAGAAAAATCCATCAACAAATGACAGGACTTCAAATACCACCGGTAAAGAAGGGGGGTCAGAAGATCAAAAGAAAAAGCGCTTTTAAAAATTATTTTTGGATTTGTGTGACGGTTAAAATACAATATGAAAATAAGTAAAAGCTCTCCATAAATCCTTCTATACACAAAGTTCAAGAGCGCCCCCTGCCCTCCCATTGAAGCCCTTTGTACTAGCTGGGAGGATACAGGTTTGAGTGGGTTTCCACTGTATTTCACATTTGCTGCCAGTGCAGTAAAATTACTAGGAAAAGCACGGCAAGTACCATGATCCAGTCTGCCTTCAGGGTCCAAACTCACCTGAAGGAAAAACATGTGTGATCTGTTCACTTAAACTGTGATAATCATCTCTCAAAGTATCAAATTACGCAAAATTTGTCCTAAAAATGTCCTGATGAATTATTACCAAAAAGTGTTCAGATAAGCAGCAAAGACGACGAGCTGCGGAAGGATCAGTCGTTTCATTTATCGCTTTAAGAGATTTGTTTTTTTTGCACAGCTTTAGAAAAAAAATCTGCATATCTGCGTTTGTGGAGCCAGTTAGCTCATAGTACTACCCTCATTTCTCTCCCTCCTTCTCTTGACTCGCACTAAAAGTGTCATCATTGCACGAGGAACAAGAAACACTGATTATGTTGTCATTATCAATACAAAAACGTGACGACTACAAGAATTTATCTAGCTTTTTATGTCATCCTGTGACACCACAAGAGGCAAAGAAGGGGGGAGGAAGTTCAGGTGGGTTTTAGGTGTCTAAAAACTGCTGCTGACTCCATTTGACCGGCCATGAAAACACACTGGCTCTCTGAATCTAGAGCTTTTCATAATACGTCTGTGTGTTTGGATGAGGGTGCCAGAAGCACAAAAAACCCCTGCAATACGAGGCCAGGTCAAGTAAAAGGAGATGGCGGACAATCTGAGGCAGAAGGACGTCGAGGGGTTTAAAGACGGCACATGACAACAACCATCCCCCATGACTCCTCATCTGTAGTCATCCTTGGGAAAGTCCAAGGTACCCAGGTTGCTAAAACCCAGCCGCATGCTTTCCATGTCGAAGCTGTCCACCTCCCGCTCCTGGCGATCCAGCAGGTGCTTAATCCGATCGGTTCGCTCCTTCTGAAGGGAACCCAGCTCCTCTTCAATCTGGAGGACGTACAGAGGAAGAAATCAGATTTGGCATTTAACGAACAACACTTTTAACCATGATTATCTGAAAGATTTGTTTTCTTTGTTCATGTTTATTAGCCTCAACCATCACAAAGCTGAAAAGGATGATAGGGAATCAAATAAAGTAAGAGAAAATCAAATTTCCAAGTATTTTATAGCTATTTTGTGTTATAGGCCATCATAAAGTAAAGCATAAACGTGAAGCAAAACAAACAGTGCAAAAATCAGAAAATCTAAAAGGTGAAAATATTGTATTCAGCCTCCAAAGCTTTATAAAACCTCCTTTTCATTGCAGTTACAGCTGCCAGTATTTTATGGTGTATCTTTACCAACTTTGCAGTTAGAAAGCAAGTTAAGCTCAAGCTGACTTAGATTATATGGAGAAGGACTATAACATCAATCTTCAGGTCTTTCTAAGGACTCTGAATAAGATGTAGATCTTGCTCTCTGGGCCATTGGAGCACATGTATTTACTTTAATTTGAAACCATTAATTTGTAATGCTGGGAGATAAACTGTATAAACTGCTCTGCGGCCTCCAATAGGATTTTTGGTCCTGCAAGTGTGTATCCATTCTATAAAATGTGACCACAAAGAGAAAAATCCCCACAGCATGATGCAGCCAGCACCGTGCTCCACCATGGGGAAAGAGTGTATGCAGAGAATGTGCACTGTTAAGGGCAGATTATACTGCATCTGCACACATCACACGTCACTTGCGTCTGGTCGTGAACCAGTTTTGCTGGTATGCTTCCGTACCATTGGTCTGGAATTTCTAAGGACGCACAGCAGTTTCCCACCAAAGCGCAAGGGGGAGCCTATTCGAGAACTCGAGAGAACTACAGCGGATGGTCACGAGAACTTCTGCGGCGGGAGTGTTTATCTTACAAGACAATAATGGCGCATCTGCAAGATATCACGGTCACGGAGATGGATCTAGATTTGCTAGACATCGAACAGCTTCTGTTAATGGAGTTGGACAAAAGACAAAGGAGGACGCATAAGTTGTCCATTGTAGTTGTTCCTGGGTCTTTAAAAATGGTGTGCCCCGGCACCGAATTGAGAAGGACGACCACACAAACAGCCGTAAAGCCATACCATGGACCAATCACAGCTGCTTTTTGTCTACGCACTTCTGCTTGAGGTCTGCACGGGTTTGCAACCGTCCAATGCGTAGTCAGGATTTTTTTGAGGGGCACAGCAAAAGATTTGACAGTTGCAGAGGCCATGCGTCAGAAGCATAAATTGGCCTTTAGTTTCCTCCCATATCACTTTGAAAGTCTCCTGTCTCCTCTGGAGTTATTTGTTTGCATTCATTTCATTTAGTAATGTCAGCTAAAAAGAGGCTGAAAAAAATGTGATTGTCACCATTTTAAAAATGCATCTTTTCATGTATCAATCCCCTCCACTTTTTATAGGTGTTAGTCTTTGACAATAGGTCTCAATAATCACTTACTTCCGTGGTTGTAATGTTAAGCTCAGGAAGTGAGGATATTTGGCAGTGGATTGCAGATCTTTTAAGAAGTTTTAATCACTGTTTTTTGTGTTTGCAGGAACCCAAACATGCTGCAGTGCTCACTGCAGCCCTGCAGAACACAGTGCTGAAACCTAACATCAATAAAATGAATAGAAATGTGACATTTATTACAGAAACATTAGGTTGATTACACTACAGAGCAGTTGTTTTATACCTGCTGCATAACATTCACCTGGAATAACAATAAGACTTTGCTCTTAAGTTCTCCAAATGCAGTGGAGGAGCTTTCATTCAAACACACTCATTTCCTGCACACACACGTCCACAGGTGCAGAAAAACAGACTGCCTGGTGCAATACGGCAACTTGGTGAGCGACTGAGCATGCACAGAAAACTCCAGACTCTGACCATGAACCGAACCCGAGCACAATAGCGCTGAAAAAACCATGACATCATCTTCCTGACAGTTTGCAAGTCTGGCTGCTGCCAGCAGATGGCAACAACTAACCACAGGTGGCACAGACTAAACTGGACCCAACAGAACTGGATGAGGGCGGCATTGTAAAAGGTTCCTTTCTTTGTTGTCGGAGTGCTGTCTACAAGACTGCTGCCATGACGTAGGTCGGTTTGGAAGAACGGCTACGCTGGTGTTTTATCTCATGTCATGGATTTAGATGACAGTCACATTAAAGATGGATGAT